TCTTCTTCTTCTTCTTCCTATTTCTAAGTTTTTTCCTGGATATAAATATCTATTAAAAGAAGAATAATATATCCTGACCCAACTCTTTGTATTGTCAAGATTTCTTTTTCCTGACAATATAAACTTCCTTTGTTACATATGTTCTCTTGATGATCTACTCTCTGTAAGGTTTTGCATGGATATCTTGTTGATTATAACTTGCTGTTTTCATACCCAAATAAAAAGACTTTGTTCACACTTTATCCTCAACATTTGCTCGAATATGTGACGCAATTAATCTTCGGGATGCTGTTGTCGTTCCCCTGCTCATGATCCATATGTTTAAGTTTGGTTTCACCCTGGATAATGATCACCTCTCTAATCACCATGGTATGGTGATGTCTCTTTTATCTGATGCTGTTTTTCTCTAATATTATATTTGATTTCAGTTCATATAACCAGGCATATATATACACAACATAGAAAAGGATGTCATGATCATGCCAATCTAAATCGTCATCATATCAATCTTATATTTGTGGGTAGGGCTGTCTCCAAGAGGTGCTAACCCAAGGGATGAATCTGGTCGGCAAGCTGGAGGCTGGAGAAGGCCAAGAAGAAGAGCCGGCGGCTAGCGATGCAGTGTACACTCAACCATGGATGACTATGATGGATGGCAGCGCCGCCGCCGCCACCGCCGTTCCTCCTCCTTGTTGCAGGCCTCTCAAGACCCTGGACCTCTTCCCCACCAAAAGCACAGGCATGAAAGATGAGTGCAGCTCCTCCAAGTCTTCCTCATGCTCCACGTCCACCAACTAAGTGCAGCAGCAGCCCCTTTGTGCTCATCTAACTATCTGTAACTCAATCATCTGCCAAGGCTTACTTAGTCTTCTTCTACGTGTTTGCTACTTCCATTAGTATAACTGTTTGCTTTAGTCAGTGGATATGTTTCTGTCATGTAACTTTTAGGTCTACTATCTACGTGCACTGCTTTCTCTTTCTCTCTTTCTTTCTCTCTTTCTTTTCCTCTTGAGTCTTCCTTTTCTCTTCTCTTGTAGGTGTATATGCATGCGAATTATTAATCGAACTAATAGTTTGTGGTGTCAATACTTAATAGCCATAAAATATTACGTTTGATTTGGACTTTCGTATGATCTGTAGCATCTATTCAGATAACTTCAAAGTTGCAACCGAACTTCTAACATTGTTTACATGATGAACACGAAAGATGAAGATTAACTTTTGAGTAATAAAAGGAATATGTTTGATTGCGTTTCAAATAGAAAACCATGCATCATCTGTTTCAGTTTGGATCGACAGTTTAATACATGTTGATTGGTATTTTATGTGAAACAATTAAAAACAATCAAAAGAAAGGGATATATAAGTTGGAAAAATAATGATATTATAGCTTCTTCCTTTGTTCCATGTGGTGTGTATCTCCAGAGAAGGTTAATGTAGAACAAGCAAAATAATCTTTGGGAAAATGAGCATATGCTGGCCTTACTTCTATAATTTTAGCTTTTTAAATCCCTCGAAACTATGGATTGGATAATTTTATCACATGCTTTTGCTATAGAGCTTAAATCACTCAAACTCCATAATAATTTTCTACTCCTGTTTAATCTTTATGAATATATTTTGGTGATTGACAAATTCTGTCTGCTGAGGGGAAAAAATAGAGTTATTGGAAGTCTGACAAGATGAAATAAGGTAAGACATGAACATATTAAGATTATATAAATAGTGTCTTTTTCCCAAATGCAATACGATGTTTTAAGATATTAGTGTTAGGGAGTAATTACATATTACACTTTTAGTTAATTATGATTAGCACCTTATATTTTAAAAAGTAGTATTGGGATTCTTAAACTTACGAAAGTGAAATATTTAAACTAAATTCTCCTTATGTTGTTAATTTCGTCAACGAAAAAAATCACATGGATTGTCATGTGCAAAAAGGGCATGAATAAAAATGATAAAAATATAATTTTATTATCTTTTAAATTATTAATTTTATATAAACTTCTCACTTGTTGCACTTGTTACCCATTGCACCCGCTCACTTGCCACACCTGCTTGCCCGACGCACTTGCTTATCTTAAGCAAACCCTTTGGCATTAGTATATGACAAGTGAGCATTGGACGAGCTGGTACACTTGGCGAGCGACAAGTGTCGTGGGCAAATTGTGAGAGATGAATGAATTGGTTGGAAAGAGGAGACGAGGAGGAAATCAATTATGATGAGAATTTTTTTTTCATCGGTAAAATTAATGATGTAAAGATAATTGAGATTAATGTTTCACTTTCGTAGTAGAAATTTCAATATTACTTTTTAAAGTATATGGACCGGGATACTAATTATAATTAACTACAAGAGGTAATATATAATTACCCCTAGGAGTTAACAAATAAATTAATAAAAAAATACTAATTAAATGTAAAATCCTATGATTTCAGTTGTTAATGTTCAAATCCTTGCAAAATATGAAAGAAATATTTTTTTATTATGACATGCCTATCTTAGGTTATATATATATATATATATATATATATATATATATATATATATATATAATGTTCCCTAAAGTAAAAAAATTTTGGATAATATTTCCTGTTCCGATTGTGGTTGACATGACGGATCTATCTGCAGAGCCTTTTATCTTTTTCGATAACGAGATTGAGCTCGAGTGAAAATGAATATTCTCACTGCCCAAAGTTGATTCAAATCCGAAACTTCTTAATCGAACCCAAATGTAGTCGTACTAAGCATTTCAATTAGCTTAATTATTTTGGCGGATCGAAAACGTCGTCCGCGGTCCCGGTCCAATCAAACCGTCAAAGCTCCCATAAGCTAGTTGTAGTGGGCCAAACCGGCCCAAGCTTACAGGTGAATGCTTTGAGATTCGTAATCCTATCCTGACTACACTTGTTGGGCCCGACTCGGGCCTGTTCGGTGGATCATTTGTCGAGATTTGGAAGGTGAATGCTTTGAGATGAGTGCTCTCATGAGGAACCCGCCACCTGTGCCGATTCGTATGTTTGGGGGTTTCTGCAGTAGCAGCAGATGAAACTGGTTTGCCACGACTCGAGTCCCGACAGAGGATGTTCGCGGCTCGGCGCGCGTCAAGAAGGGAACTTGACGTTGCCACGTTAGCATGTCGGACCTTTAGCCGTAACATAAGTCGGTCCGCGAAGCAGCTCTTGGTAAATAAAGGTCGGACAAAAGTGAAAGCAAGGGCAACCTTTCCGTCTACTTCGCATGCTCGGTAGAACGCTTGCTTGATCACCGCCGCGAGTCCCCCCCTTCCCGGTCGTATCTCGCTCGCCCGTTGCCTTCCACGGCCTGTGAACTCTCTCTCTCTCTCTCTCTCTCTCTCTCTCTCTCTCTGTGTATGTTGTACCGTCCTCTGATGATCGTACCTAGTCTTGCATTAGTTCTGAGATTTTCTACTCGTCATCAATTCAAAAATTTTGAGTGAGAAGTAGCACAATCTATTGATAGACTTCATAAAGTGGGTTTTGTCATTGTTATTTCTTGTCCAATGTTGATGACTTGATGCATCTTTTTCTCTTCAAGAATCTATTGCTTGTGTGATTTCTATATGAGGGTCACTCTTTGGTACAAGACTATTATAGGGGTTAACAAAATTAAACAAAAAAAAATCTGAAAATGTGTTTACAGTATTGATCAAAATTACCATAGGATCTTTGAATTGGTTTTTATCAGAATTTTTAACACCGTCAACGATTTTACTGTCACTGTTATGATCTTTAAGATTGTCTATAGCTCTAAAATTTACTGTTGTGTTGCATTAAATTTTTGTGAGGCATGTCTTGCATGTGTCAAGTTTCTCTACCTATATATCAGTATACACACATATATAAGCTAGTGAGCCAGAGTGACATGGTTATTTTTGGTTTTGAGTCACCCTGTGTTGTCTAGTGTAATTGGTGTGTGACTTTAGATGTCACTTTTCCTGCCTCTTTTTATGGTACAAGTTCCTCATCTTATTTATTAACGATAGAGAAGCCTAAACTGAGAGCAAAAATGCTGGTTAAAACTGGAAGCTGATCTTGGTGAGGGCACAAGTATATAGTTCTTAGAGAGCTGAACTCAGTATAACATATGCTTAATACCTGATATCTTTAAAAGTTTACCCACCCACTCGTTTATATTGTGTGATTGTGGACAGCTTCTTGGAGAGAAAGTACCTTATTTCTGAAATTGATCACATCACTAAAATTGCAGGTCTTATATGATAAAGTTTCTATAAATTATTTGAGAATGGTCTACTATCATGATTGTTAATATAAGTATCATCATTCCATTGTCATGATCACTTGATGGTTGTGTCACCTTAACCGATATGATGGTCTCAAACTTAGCTGATTTTTGTTACGTTATCTATTGTGTTCTTAAACATTCTGTCATCCAACACGCTCATACAGAGTACATGTCTGTTTGGAGGTCAAGCTAATGTTCTCAGCAATGTTGGGGTTAATGATTTCAGGCATCTATGGTGTTGTCAGCAATGTTGACGTGCATGTTCGACTTGCAGGCAACTTCGCATCACTGAAAGGGAGTTCCTGTGATATATTCTTTTTACTGGATTTTAATCTAGTTTTCCTGTGAAGCTGGTGATTTTCTTTATAACTATATGTACATCCAATGCTTTTATCAAGAAGTGTTGTTGTTGCCTTCTCTCAATTACTTCAGTGCTTTCTTACTAGCTGATTGTGGGCTTCAGGCATAATTTTGTTTCTTGGCAACTATGACTATTGATAAAAGAGATCATATGCTTTACATGGTTGTCTTTCAGAACTCTTCCCCCTTTAAGGTTTATATAGAAAACATTGAATAAACTCTTAACCCATTAGATAGTGGCTTGTAATTATATGAGATTACAGTGTCAGTAGATAATAACTATTTGTTCAGTTCTTAGAGGTTGGGAGTGTACCAATTCCCAGATCTTAACTGTTGGTTAGCTCTCTTCTCACATTTTAACCATCCATTGGTATGATCCTCATCCACAGTGGATCTATATCAATGGATGATTGACATGAAAAGAGAGGATTAATGGGATTCTTAGATTTGAGAATCATAACTCTCAATTTTGAGAGATGGAACACTCAATCAATAACGGTAGCCTTGTTGAAGATCCCAGGCTTCAGAAATCTACATAAAATGGAAGCCTTTTATCATGATCGTTAACAGTTTGAGTAAAATGCAACTAAGAAGAAATCAGGATGCTAAATGGGAAGCATTTGTGAGTACAAAAATTCAAGAATTTGGATTGCAGCATTAGGATATTAGGTTAGAATGTGAGAATCTATATGCTCATACATTCTTCCTCTGTTTAGTGACCTACAATTTGACACAATTCCTTTTGTTTTTGGACCACCCTTAGAGGCAAAATTGGATTACATGGTAACCAATTCTTAATCAAGACAGTTTTTTGGTACAGACTAAAGCCAACTAAAAAGATCTGATGGTTGATTTCTTCTGCAATTATTTCTACAAATGTGCTTTGTGTTACTATAACATTACATAAGTTCCTGTGGATCGATTCCATTCTTAAACAAAAGAACCTACTATTACTGCTCATTTGTAATATCCATAGCTTTACCATACCTTTCACAAGTTAAAATTACTTCTTAAACCAATAGCTTTAAGTCATGATACGACTTTAGTCCAATCATTCTTCATAGTAAGATCCTTTAGTGCATAGAGAATAGAATATTGCACTAATTGCAGATTTGAATAATCACATTTTGGTCAAGTAATTACTGAGTGTTGGTAGAGTTCCTTATCTCTAGTCAACTTGAGCATCCAAGTGTTTTTTTTTTCCCAGCTCTTAGCATGTTATATATATATATATATATATATATATATATGTATGTATGTGTACATATATATGTATGTATGTGTACATACACATATATATACAAATACATACACATATATATACATACATATATGTATGTATATACATACATATATATATATTCTCATGAATGGACTGAAGAAAGATCCACTGCATGATTAGAGGTTCCATGGTCTTTTGCAAGGTGATATAACTATACCACTTGAGGACCTCAATACTAGTTGGGCACAAACTTAAAAATAATCTTCCTCATCATTGTGTCGCTTCATGATACTTAAACTGTTCAAAACTAGTAAAAGAATCATCATAGTCATCAACAGAATGCAGAATTTCCTAAGTCTGAGCCTGTATGAGGCTTCACTTACTATAATATGTGAAGAATGCCATTAGAAAAAGCAATTAAATATGCCAAATAACCACTTTTAGATAAAACTAAGAGTACATGCACACCTCTCACATTATAGATATAATTATAGTATCAAGGGCAATCTAGCTTAGTGGAGGGATTACCTAGATTAAAGGCCGACAAGGAATCACATGCAGTGCTCAACTATAGGTTCCTCCTTGGCCTTCTCCAAGGCCATGTAGCCTTTGTATAAAGATTATATTCCCAAGTTAGTGAGATTAATTTAATCTGCATTTCATCCCCTACTCTAAAGGTGGCTGCCTTGTTATTGGTTATTAGTTGCAACTTTTTTTGTTGTTCTGGTACACAATAAGATGCAACCAAGCCAGTCAAAGGTAAGGTTGCAAGTATCATTTTTCTCAAACCATGCTGAACATATCAACCTGGCTATTTACCATTAGGAAATCAAGCCGATCTAATTGATTGATTGGTTGGTTAATTGGTTAACTAGTTTAATTCATTGGAATATACAGTTTTTCAGTTAATCAAAACATTTAGTTTATAATGATTACCATTCATCATAATATTGTTTTCTTGAGTTTTAGGGTTTGTTATGAACATCTCTAAAGGAAGGTACATATGTTAGTCTATAATTGGGAAACAGAAGAGTATGGACCGCATCTGAAAAGAGCTCTTGTCCTTGTAGATGGAATAACATCTTCATCAGATTCATTAGGACGGTAGTGAACAACAAAGAGCTTTTATTTAAACCTAGTAATGCAGCAAGCATAATGACCCTGTCATGCTAATTGGAATATGGAAGCTTCAACATTGCTCTTTTGGTCTATGAGTTTCTTGCTTTGTTCTACGCTTGACTGATCGTAATGTTTATGATAGCTTTGTCATCTTCATCTTTGTATGCTATAACCATTTTATGCAACATGTTTATCTACAAATTGCTATTGTTATCGAAGAATGTAAAGTAGAAGGGATTGGGCTGCAGGAAAAGGGGGACTGCAAGAAAATTCAGGAGTTTTGGCATTTGGAATCCCATTCAATTATGTTTGCAAATGCATTTGAATTAAGAGAACTCTTAATTGCTGATAAGCATTTTTGTTATGAGAAACATTAGTAAGTACATCTTTAACTAATATGAACTGGTGCTCTGTGAAACTTTGGATGAAAGTAAAGATCTAGTGTTACTGGTGGATGATTGAACTGGGACTCAAGCAAGAGTGGCTACCTAAGACAAGTGAATCTGAAGAAAGCTTGTGTTAATGGGATGTAAAACAGGGAACAATCCTCCTTGATAAAATAAATTTTACATGGACTAATTTAAAAGTATAAGATCCACTGCGGTATCAAAATTTTGTCAAATTGGTGGAAAATTATGCTATTGCAGTCATTTTATAGTTGGCCTATATGTAATGCAGGCCATCCTATTCAAGTTTCCAATCTTCAACAAGAGGAGAACTTTTGTAGCTCACTTTTGTTGAACATTAGTATGCTTGTGTTTTCCTACTCAAATGTATATATATCAGTTTGGTACCACAAAATTCCCCATGCTAATGCACTATTATTTAGCCACTAACCAATGTTGTACACATTTTAAGGATCACTTGGCTCTTCTCTGTAAACTACAAAAGTTAGTTTGAAGTAACTTCTGTGAAGGTTATAAGAAAACATTAAATAATTCCATGAGATGGGCTATGATTATTGAGGAGATTATTCCAAATTCCTAAAGCCACTCTCCACATTCCCTCACTCCTTTGACCAAAAAGCTTTTGCTTCTCCATGACTCTCTCTCTCTCTCTCTCTCTTTTATGTACCAAGAGAGAGGGAGAGAGTCTGTGTGGAACTTACTTTATGTCACCAAAGCAAATGTCTTTGGAAATTTTGCTAACTTCAGCCACTTCCACTCCAACCTCAAAATTCTGTCGAACTGATCATTAGCCACTAAGAAATTAGCCTATGATTTGATTAATGCCTGTTCTTTTTCCCAAGTTACAATCCTTGGTTGCAAGTAACTTCTAAAAAGAAAGATGTCAACCATCATGAGCTGATGAATGGATTGGGTCATCATGAAGGCCCCAAAATATGCATCAAACACTTTTATCATCAAAAAAATCTTGTCCTCTTTCTCCCATTCCTTTTGACAAATCAACCTCCCTTTCCCCTTGTGTTATTTTTTTGACAGCTAACAAAGCTACAGTTTCTTGGTAGAATAGCCTAATATTGATATATTCTCTTACTGATCAAAGAGCAGTACAATACTTTCCAAGTCCCAAAGACAACACACTAACATCTTGGAAGTGGTCATGCAGCTCAATGGGCCCACTCAGCATAGACTGGCATTGTGGCAGATTGGAGCCGACTCCCATTCTATGTTAGCTGTGAATCTTTGGTGTGTTTGCACAAAACCAAAGCAAAGCGACTCAGAATCTCATGTAGAAGATTTAAGACTGTGGCATCGAGACGAGTGGAAAAGCTGCGACATTTATAGAAGTATCTGACGAGAACAGAGAGGAAGGGAAGTGACGACACCCTGACTCAAACTGCCGGCTGCTGCCTGAGGTCGCGCTTAATGGCGACAGAAAACCACAAGAAGTATTCACTACTACAGCTGCTGCTGCTGCTGCTGCACCTGCGGCCGACCTTGCAGTCCTTCACATGTCTCTTTGTTCTTTTGTAGGGCTCAGGATAGATTGTTCATGGAGAAGACGTCGGTGAAGCTGGCTAAGAGGTCCTCGTCGTAGGAGCTCTCGCCTTCGTCGTCCGTCGCCAGCGCCGCCTGCAGCTGGCTCCACCAGTCGCCTCCAGTATCGCCGCCAGCGCTGCAGCCGTGATTTGCCTCGTAGTTGTCGTAGCCGCAGCAGTCGAAGCTCTTGACCGCCGTCGTATCTGCTTTCATCTCTATCTCGGTCTCCGTCTCCGTCTCCGGCTCGCCGTTCCTCGCAAACCGGCCCTTCACTCGCGGCCGGCTGTCCGCCAACGTCTTCCTGCATGCATACTGGAACGCGACATGAACAACACATTTGTCGACGAAAATGGTGAAGAGTGCAACGATCGAGGAGGAACAATTTGATGGATACACACAGTGATCTTCCTGTGGAAGTTCCTTTGGTGGCGCTTGCTGCGATACCTCTCGATCCTTTCCTTCCTCTCCTCGGCACTGTATGGCCGTACTCTCCCGGCAACGGCCCCTTCTTCCTGGATATAATTCTCGTGCGGAGCATTCATCCCCTGCCATGAAAATTAATCGAACAAGAGCAAAGATCCGAGCTTGAACGTTAGAAACGGATAAAACCTAGATTTTGCGAGACAGGAACTGAGAAAGGCGGAGACTTTGGTGACCTGGAGGTCGCCGGTGCTGAGGACCCGCCGTGCTGGATCGACGTTGAAGTCGGAGTAGTCGCAGGCGGAGGAAGAAGGAGACGATGAGAGTGGAGGCAGCGGCAGAGGAGGTGGGGGGCTGAGGGAGTCGGGAAAGTGGTGGTGAATGGGTAGTGAGTGGATGCTGCTGTTCCGGTGCAGGAAATAAGCGGACTGAGAGGAGGTACAGGGAGGAGAGGAGGAAGGGAAAGGTGGGAGGCAGCCATTGCCGTCGGAGAGGAGGGCGTGAGGAACGGCGGCGGAGCAGAAGACCGAGGGGAGGAAGGTGGAGTCGCCGTACGTGGAGGAGCTGCAGTAGAAGGAATGGAACATGGTGGTGGATGGGTTTGAGGAGAGAGAAGGGGAGGCACGGCTTCCTTTTAAAGGAGCTCTTGGGAGGGAGAGGAGGTGGCCAGGGGTCCACGAGCCATGACCAAGGTGGGCTGACCATAGTGGGCCACGCAAAGGTGCAACAGTGGGCCCGAAACCAGTGCCTAGCTGCTGACCACTGTCCCGTCTCTGTTGCAAGACAATATTAGGTAGCCACTGAGCCCTGTTCTTTTGTCTTATGGAAGCCACAGAGGGGCACCGAGCGGCGCACAAGACTGGTAAGCTTGGAGTTGGAATCCCGCTCTGCTGCTGCCCCACTGTCCTCCATTGCTGCCCACAAGGCAACCTGTTCCAAAGGCAGCATGTCATGTAGCTCAAGGTAGGTGTTTCTGCACATTGCCTTGCTTTGTTTTGTGGACAAACATTGGTATTACCTGAAGGCAGGAGGAATCATATCATGCCTAGGAATATGTTGACCCCTTGTGTGTTTCTTTTGTCTCTGACTTGTTTATTTTGATTGTTTGAGAGATAATCACCATTGAATATTAGATTACAAAATTAATGATTCTGTTACAAGTAAGTTTGCTACTGTTTCTTTTGTGTCTGACTCGTTTAGTTTGATTGTTTGAGAAGTAACCATTCTCCTTTGTTGATAGATGATCACCATTTAATATTAGATTACAAAATTAATGATTTTGTTACTAGTAAGTTTGCTAATGATTTCCAAGTGCTAACAATTATTCATACTGCATACCATATTCTTTTTGCAAGTGATAATTTAGACCCATTCAGAATAACAAGGTCCTCAATTGCCAAAACTCAAGATATGGCATGCATCTGTTTCTTTGGCTTCTTTCAAGAACTACTCTGCTTTAATCTTTCTCCTATCTTCTTGTTGTTAAGATGCTCCAGTGGTGGCTAAGCAACTGAAAATTTTCAAGTATAGCTGAATTAGTAATCTGTTTAGCACTTGGGACTAATACCTGAGTATTAAAATTTGCTTTGAAAGTGTTTAATCATCAATTCCATGAACTCATGGGCAATTGGCAAAGTGGAGAACTTATCGGTTGATAGGTCCAAATCTATCTTATGATCTCTTAATCTCACAAGGATGTATGTTTTACCCTTATCATATGATTGTTCTTCAAATTGATGACCAGGCTTCAAGATGAATAGTTCTAACTTCTAAGGATGTTATGTAAGAAGTTTAGCATGTGTTAACCTTTTCGTCGCAAAGACAGCTTTATGCTAATTTTTGAGGGATGATGCCATGATGCTGTGGACGAAATCTGGAGAAGATCTTTGCTTAGTAAGAATCTATCAGCAAATGCTTAAGCTTTACAGATGTTCCAAAGCAAGGGGGTTGAGACACAGAAAAAAGAGGATGCTGGTCTACAGGTTCACACAACTTGTTTAGAAGGAAAAGCTTTGTAATTTTCACATAATTACTTAAGAGTTAAGGATCATGAATTGTGGAGTATCTTTTTTTTTCCCCTTCACTTTGAAGGAGAAAAAAGACGGACACACTTCATGCACTTCTTTTCTTTGAAGACACACCATCCTCTTTTTACATGCAGAAAGAGAAGAATAATAAGAGGTCTAGGAAACCTTTGATATAGATTCTTAGAAATTTAAGATGTATTTGGAATTACTTCTCTTTTTCTCTAATAATAAAACAAAAATTTGGTTATGGGATGCATATTGGTTAACCTTTAAAAAAAATTATGAGATGTTTTATCCATTTATATCAGAAAGGTTTTATCTCTACTTACTAACTTGTGGTATTAATTACAGGTCATTCGAGGATTAAATGGAGTCATTAAAAGCCTGCAATTTGTGGTGTTGAGAAGATATTCAGCATGGCTGACAAACTTGATGCTTCAAAAAGTAAATAAATCCTACCCGGTAATTATATAATTGAACTTGGCCATGTTATATATGTTCTACCATCAGATGTCCGATCTTTACAATAGAGAAAACATACATTTTTTTCCATTTTAATTATAAAACCATGCATGATTGTAGATATTTACTATATTAAGGTATCTTTGGTTGGTAGGAAAAAAAGTTTATGCTCAATAGTTCTTAACTAAAGCTGCTTTTATTTTTAAATTGTTTTATTTCATTTATTGTGATTCCTATTTCCAAATGGTTGTCTTCAGAATTGAGAACCTAAGGAGCTTGCTGTATTCTACATTACAAAGACCAAAGACATATATTTAAGCATCATTTGTGAAATAATCAGCTGAAAGAAACAAATAAATGTCTTCTGAATATGTTTATCCTGGTCAATAGTATCTGGAAAGTGAATTGGCAAACTTTTCCTGCTAGCATAATCCATTTCATTAATTTCTGATCCATAACCTTTCCCAAGAAACAGAGAGTAAGAGAATCAAACAATATGGAATAGCTAAACTGGCAGACTGAATTGAGAAGGAGATCATCATTAAATTTGCAGATGTAGATTCCGCTGCAGATACAAATAACATTAGACAAAAACCTGAGGATTGCAATTTACCAATTACATTTGAAATGTAGTTACCTTATGAGCTAAAAGTAGTTTATGGACTGATTCTGGCTGTGGTTATCAAGCATCTATAAAGATTATAGTTGTATGCTCTCACTCAAAGTACTAAAAATAATTTGTTTCTTACCTATCAGACAAAAAAGAGAATGGTTTCAACAGAAACATCACTGTTGATCAAGGCTCTGATCTAGGAGGCGATGGATTTGCTATGTGTCAGAAAACACAAATATGGAAGAAAGATACAAGCTATGGTCAATTTTCTGAGAATACAAACTCTCACCACTTTGTAGAATGTAACATATTGATTGGAGAGAGAGAGAGAGAGAGAGAGAGAGACTGCTCCCATAGTGTAAGGTATGAGAGGCCCACCAGGCAAAATGGTGGCAAAAGCAAATGTAGCCTCCTTGAGACCTGATCTGCAAGAAAGTCAACTCCTTGATTTGACAAGAATGTTTGACAACTATTTAGTCAACTCAGTTGAAGACTTGAGGGGTCCATAAACTAGCACATGGTCTTCCACCCTCAGATCTCTCACCTGCCAATTAATTCCTACTCTAAGACTCTGGCTTCCCTTGCCACTTGCATCAGAACTCCAGACCTGTGACACTTTGCTTTCCTTTCTAGTCATTTACTAGAGAGAGGGAGGCAGATGCTACTGTTTAGATTGAGAAGGTTAATACTGAAAATGTCTGAATTCTATATCCTACTACAGCATCCAATGATGCGACATAGAACTTTCACCAATTTGAGACTGAAAGAAATTGTCTGAATTCTCATGAAACACCACACTTTAGTACATGTTTTTCTTTTAGTGAATATCCAAGATTAAAAGAAAATGAAAAATTGCAGGCTTTTGACTGTAGAGCACTACTGAGTGGTCCAGTCAATCTTGTGCCTCGATGATGTGTGATTCCTGCTCTGCAAGAAGGTAATGGATTCTGATGATAGACATTTCTTTTCTTTGACTCTCTCTTGCGTCATTTCACATGCAAAAGAGGAGAGAAAACACAAGTGCAGGAAGTCAATTTTGCCTCTTCAGCTGCTTCACTCCTAGTAAGAACTTTCCATATTAAACAAAATGGTCATGTACAAGTAAGGTTAGTCAACTTGCATCTGACCAAATTAAGATTGAGCTATCACAAGAAAGAGAACCTCATGGAACAAACAAGTGTGTTTAGTGGCAACTTTGGATGCCCATAATCAAATCATTGATTGCATCTTCTACAGGGTGATCATTTCAGAACATTTGAAATCCACACAAACAACCTTGATGCCTGAAAGAAAAGAAAGATGGGCAAATCAGCATAGCATCTTTCATGGATTACACACTGCAAGAATTCTTTGACCCCAAAAAATGTCCAACAGAATCCTCCAAGTATGAGAATGATTTCCCTTTGAACAAGGGTGAATGCAGAGGTTTGAAGAGCATGGAATTTATGTTCTCACACACTCATGGTAGGACAAGTGGGAGGATTAGGCTATGGTGGAATCCTGGGAGCTCAAAGCTTTTGTCGGGCTAAGGTCAACAGGCAAAATGGTCGCACCACTACACCTATGAGTGGGCATGCAATTATTGTTGGGTGATGCTCGCAGAACACAACATAACATGTCACAAATGTGTGAGCACAACTAGTATCCTGCTTTGTGCTCAGGTTTCCTCCATTTTCTCTCCTCATTGCGAATGCGTACTTGATAGATCTCTCTCTCTCTCTCTCTCTCTACTTTTAGGCAAACCTATAGGTGCCATGATGAGAGAGTGGATTGATTTGTTTCATTGCTAAAAAAAAATTCTAAAAAATTTTGCTCTATATAATGGAAAGAGAAGTTAATGCTCTTGATTTAATCAATGTTATCTTGTATATTGTTCGATAATATAAAAAACTATATATTCCATTACAAGTGGTTGAAATATTATGGGTTGTTATAATTATTTTCACTGTAAACTCTTATGGTAAGAATGATGTGGTTGGCCTATCAGTATCGCGTATGGACGTATACCTTGGTTCCAAGACCTAATGACCCTATATACTTAGTATTATGTGGTTGCGTCGAATAGACTAAATTGGAGAGTGGTTATGATCGACCTTCGTGCTATCATAACTATGCAGAGAGTGTAATAGACAAGTGTAACGGTTCTAGTGGGCGAGTGTAACGACTCGACATTACTTGATAACAATTATTATGTTAGGTTTTTACACTTCGATTATTGTATGAACTATATAATGGGCGAGTGTAACGATCCTAAACACTTACTATAAAAAGCGGAGGCATCGGTATGTTTATAAACATAAGACAATCATGGTCAACTTGTTTGACTAAATTTCTGATTTAAGCATTGAAGGGGCCTTGTCGAGAATACCCTCAACGTCATTTTGTAGGATTCAGATGTTCGAACTTTAAGACTGACTTGAAGAAGAATCGAATTGACTTCTAGTTCGGACAATCAAAATCTACTTTAACATGAATTGCATAATGAGTGGGCGTAAGATCTCAAACGCCCACTATGAAAAGAGGATGCATATGAATGTTTATAAACACAAGACAATCTTGTCCGACTAAAGTACTGACCTAAGCATTATATGTGTCTTGTCAGGAACAATCCCAACATTAATTTGAAGGATTCGAATGTTCAACTCGAAGAGTTTTACTTTGAGACCGATTGAAGAATAAGATTGGATCAGAGTTCATTTTCAATCAGACAACCAAAATATATTGTAACATGAACCAACAATACATAAATTCTTAAAAGATGTGCAAATATATAAAGCTTTGCATATAATCCATCAGTTAAGGATATGCATTTATGATAAAAATCAAAATAATAGAAAAACACACTAACAAAAGATTAAAAAAAATATAAATATACAAATTATTAAAACCAATCAGAAATTACATTTACATGTGTATACTTGGACCTAAACGAAAGTGGGCTTGTGGGTTCTAAAGGGTTGTGTTGATTGGCCCAAGGTGGTCAAAATTGTGTTGATTAGCCATCTCATTAAATGTAGCCTCATCACCAAATTCCTTGTTAATGAAAAGAATGATACTACTTTGTTCTAAAATGCATCCACCTCATCACATCCAAGTATGCATTGAGATGTCCTCCACCACAACAAGGGAAAAGAAGAAGAAAACAAGAACTATATTGCTCTAAATGATCATTTTGTCCATGAATATGCTGTAATTAACTAAGCTTTTTTTTTTGCTAAGTCATTAGCATGACCAACCATGTTTAGAAACAAATGTTGTAATTCTTTTGATTCATAAAGAACCAAAAGAAAACAAAAACAAATACAACAATATCACCAACACTTTTCAGAGACACAATGAAACCATTTAAGAAGAGGAAGCTGTTGACTCTGTATTATATTTCAGAAATAAAAATAGGTTGACTTTCCATGTTTAGGTCAGAGAGGAGAGGAGGATTAGCTAGCTGTCCATAAGGCATTTGTAGGCCATTTTGGGATGTTGCATCCCTTCAATCATTTTTATTTTAGATTTCCTCTGCCACATCCTGAGCTGTCTTAACATATTTTTTGTTCTATTAGTCATCATTCGCATTCATGATTCATGTCTCTTGTTAATCTTATCGAAATATGCTTAGAAAAATAGACTAAAAAAACACATTCAAGCATTCAACATCTCTCTAATTGAGTGCCAGTGAAAGCCAGCAATATAAGAGCCATCATGCATCCACCCCTATTAATTTCTCATGCATCAACAGGTGGCCATAGTGATATGTTTAGCATCATCATTGTTATTATATTTTACTGGAAGAAAGATCATCTTTTGTTATTGTCAAAAAGAAGAAAAAAAATCCCCTAATTTGATGAGCCTAAACTAATGATATATCAAGTTAATTCAATTGATTAAATCTTCTTTTTTGAGAAAAAATTGGGTAATACCACACAATTCCTTTCAATGTGCAGTAGGAGTAGGACTCCTTTAAGGTTGTGGTGTCCTTTTCAAAGATGATTCACTTTGGTGCTTTGCAAAGTATATTGTGGAGGTCCATACAGAACTCACCATCTCTTCAAAAGCTACAAGGGGTCCAAGGAAGCTTCCCTTACACTTCTTCACATCGAGGTGGCTGCAATATACCGACTCTTTGATTTAGACTAAGAAGGTGTTTAGGTGTATCAGTTACCTGAGGAAGAGAGAGATATTAATGGAGAGTAGCTCTTCAATCGTGAGAGAGGGTGAGCTAAAATAATTCTCACTCCACTAAACTAAAATGAAAAAGGATGAGCTGATTGGATTAGCTTATCTTTGTGCTTTGATTAGAATAAGTTAACCCAATTAAATTACTTGTACTCACATCACAGACATGATGTTTGAGAATGGGAAAAGGCAACCTTCACCCAACTCTCATCATGAGGCCAACCAACTCTCTGGTGTCCATTTGAAGTCAAGGGGGAGGAAGGATCCTTGAAGCTTCCTCAAACCATTCTTCCACTTTGAAATCCTTGTTTAAGTCCTTATTGCACCACATAGATTCTTACTTGCATATGCATTTTTGCCTTTTGTTCTTCCCTTTTTCCTTTTTTAAGTGTATGATGTGTTGTCTTGTGCATTGAGCATTGGAGTAGTACCTCTTTTGTACCTTTTCTTTTCCCTTTTTTTTCTTTTACTTTTTCTTCCTTACCACGACCAATCAATCTCCAATTATGGTCAAAGATTGGATTCTTATTGATGGTGCTCTTGATTCCCAATTATATGTCATATATTTTTTTGACTAATATATGTTAAATGAAGGAGATTACACACACATATATATATGACTAATATATGACTAGTTTGGATGGTTAAGAAGTCTGAGACCTACAATGATAGATGATTACTGTATGTAAAAAAAAAAGGAAAAGAAAAAAAATCAACTTCAATTGGGGATATATCAACCCTTTAAATGAAAAAGATAAGAATTTTACTCTTCATTTGGGAAAACTATTACTAAAGTGTGCATGACTTGGCTGATGTCTTATTCATCTGTATTATCTTCATGAAGAATAATTCTGCTGTCTTCTTCTTGTGTTCAAAGTACATTTTGGTCAACTCTTGTCATTTCTTATTGCAGAAGCTACAGAAGGATCAACAATCATATATTTATATGTTTATATACATTGAACTTTTTCTAACAAGCAAACATATATATATTTATATGCATTTAGACACTTTGTTAACCAAAAAATATGAGAGTGAGTGATATGCTATTTTTTCCTGAGCAAATAAGAAAGGCAAATAAAATATTATTAATCATATTTAGTAGCAGGTTGATTACACTGCATTAAGACACAATTAATACCGACCATTCCAATTTATGCAAGCAACTGTGGAGAACCACAACAAACCACCTCTTTTTATGAATACATCAAAGTGACGTACAATGGTTTCTACCTGCCCTTCTAGTTGCTGAAGACTGACCAATCGGTGGCTCCCGCATATATTCTCCAATCATAGAACAGGTAGATTCGGGGTATGTTTCGGGGTATAAACCAAAGAAGCCCGTATACGGTCTCCGTAAAGACGTAGCGTATCCCACAACCATATTTATCCCGTTCCATTTTGAACTCCCCAAAGCGCCCTTCCCTTGGTCGCTTCTTCCAAAGGGGGAGAGTCGGAGAGAGAGCGTCGGTGGTCGTTCCCAAGCCCGGCGACCGAGACAACCCTAGCCAGATCTTGTCTTTCTCCCAAAGTTTCGATCTTTTTGTCAACTCATCCGTCTTCTTGCGAGAATTGAGTTTGGTATGGGGCAGAGTGGGCAGGATCAGGAGCACCGGAACGGCGTCGGGCCCCAACCCCCGCCTCCCCCTCCTCAGTCATTCCCCGCTTGGGCCCGCAGCACAGCCGAGTGCCAGGCCGAGTTCGCGGTGTCGGCGGTGGCCGGCCTTCGGTCCGAGGAGGTTGCGTGGCGGCGCGAAATATACGGGTGGAACGAACTGGAGAAGCACTCTGGGCCGTCGATCTGGCGTCTCGTCCTCGGTCAGTTCGAAGACACCCTCGTCCGGATCCTCCTCGCCGCCGCCGTTGTGTCCTTCCTCCTTGCTTGGTACGATGGCGATCGTGGCGGTGGCGGCGAGGCTGGGTTGACCGCCTTCGTCGAGCCGTTGGTGATCTTTCTCATCCTCGTCGTGAATGCTGTGGTCGGTGTGTGGCAGGAGAACAACGCAGAGAAGGCCCTGGAGGCGCTGAAGGAGATCCAATCGGAGCATGCTGCCGTCAGGAGGGACGGCAAGTTGATACCCACTTTGTCTGCTAGGGAACTCGTACCAGGAGATATCGTAGAGCTCAGGGTCGGTGATAAGGTGCCTGCTGATATGAGAGTTCTGCAACTGATAAGCTCCACCTTCAGAGTAGATCAGGGGTCTTTGACAGGGGAGAGCGCTGCAGTCAACAAGACCAATCGGGCGGCCAATTCAGAGGACACCGATATCCAGGGGAAAGAATGCATGGTGTTTGCGGGCACGACGGTCGTGAACGGGAGCTGTGTTTGCTTGGTCACGCAGACCGGAATGAACACGGAGATTGGTAAGATACATTTGCAGATTCATGAAGCTTGTCAGAGTGACGACCAGACTCCATTGAAGAAGAAACTGAATGAGTTCGGGGAGGTCCTGACAGCTATAATAGGCGTAATCTGTGCTTTCGTTTGGCTTATCAACGTGAAGTACTTCCTCACTTGGGAGTACGCTGATGGCTGGCCGAGAAATTTCAAGTTTTCGTTTGAGAAATGCACCTATTACTTTGAGATAGCAGTGGCCTTGGCAGTCGCTGCTATCCCAGAGGGTCTTCCAGCAGTGATTACAACTAGCCTGGCATTGGGTACGCGAAAGATGGCGCAGAAGAATGCGCTGGTGCGAAGGTTGCCGAGCGTTGAGACTCTGGGATGCACGACGGTCATTTGTTCTGATAAGACTGGCACGCTAACTACAAATCAGATGTCGGCAGTGAGAATTGTAGCTATGGGCCGGCAGACCAATGATCTCAGAAAATTCAAAGTTGTTGGTGCTACATATGACCCGTGTGATGGAGAGATACATGATTGGCCGGCTGAGAATATGGATGACAACCTTCAGATGATCGCAAAGATCGCTGCTGTTTGTAATGATGCGAGCATCTCAAACTCAGGTCATCAGTATGTTGCGAGTGGAATGCCCACTGAAGCTGCTCTGAAGGTATAAATTATTAGTTTAGTTTTGCATGTTTTGTTGTACTATTTGCTCCAGTTTATTATGTTTGTTCATCGATTGTTTATTGTCTGATCAGGTAATGGGTGTTCTAAAAAGTTTCAAATCCATTGTGAACATGGAGAATAGTCCTGATAAGTGATTATCTTCTGTTCTAAGTCTTTTGGGTTCAGCAAGTTCTCATAAAAAAGAAAAGAAAAAATCTCTGACCTGTCTATAACATTTTTTTAATATTTACATATTGAACTCTCCATCTCTTCCTGTGCCACTTTTAAGAGTGAAATAAATTATTAAAGGGAGCAGAATGTTCTCACTATGCTACCATACTTCTTTTTTATAGTTGTAAAAAATAGTTACCTTGTCATATGTGTAGCCTGTGCTCCGGTGTAAAACCATACACTTCTATGTGTTTTATATAGTTGTTGTCATTTTAATTGCTAACAGAGTGTTCATCAATCTTTGTCAGGTTCTAGTTGAGAAAATGGGAATTCCTGGAGGCTTTGATCCTTCGTCCTTGGAATCTTCTGAGATATTACGTAGATATCTTCTCTGTTCTCCTTAATCTCTCCTCGAGTATGTTTCAGTACCTGCTGATGAAAAGTGATATACTTATATGTCATTTTTTGCTGATTACCAATAGGTTGCTGTCAATGGTGGAATGGGTGTGCACGTAGGGTTGCGACCCTTGAATTTGATCGAGTTCGAAAATCAATGGGAGTTATTGTGAAATCAGACTCAGGAAGCAATTCATTACTTGTGAAGGTATGTAATGCTCCTAAGATGATGGTTTATGCTTGGGACAAATCACATTTTTTTCCTTTCATGCTTAAACCTATAGAACGTAGAGCAAGTTTTATAATGGGCTATAATTTAACAAGAACAGTGAGATCTTTGATGTCTTTGCTGAATCATTTGCAGTTGAGATGATGTGTGTCATTGTACATTATTGGGCATTCTTGTTTTGGACAAGTTGTTTGCTCAGGTTGTGATCTTGAGTCCTTAGTCATTTGCTGTCAAAATTAACCAAATCTTGCCCTACCTTGACTTCAAAACCTTTATATTTTTTTATGAGCATCAACAAAGAAGTTGACATGTTGAAGACTTTCAGTTACAGTTTATCAGTTTTCTAGTCTCCTTTAGAGAAATAATCTGTTGCGGAGTCAGAAGTAAAATTGAGATATTTGTTTTTAATCAATCCCAGGTAGACGTTCAACTTTTGGATTTTGAGTTTTTGGATGAATATTATAGCATTATACCTGACAAGAATTCTTCATTTGTGAAATCATATTCTCTAGTGAATGTTTATGCTTTCACTTCTTTTAATAGATTTTAAGAATTTGAATTATTCAATAGCAGCCTCTTATATTTCTTTTATTGAAAATCCTTCCTGATGGGGACCTGTTGAACCTTCGATGTGTCAGGGAGCTGTCGAAAGTTTGTTAGAGAGATGTTCCTACATTCAGTTGCTTGATGGTTCCGTTATGCAGTTGGATGAGAGTACAAAAAATCTTGTCCTAGAAGCGCTTCATGAGATGTCGACCAATGCGTTGCGTTGTTTAGGTTTTGCATATAAAGATGATATATCAGAATTTGCTACATATGATGGTGAAGATCATCCTGCTCATAAGCTTTTACTTGATCCATCTAATTACTCATCTGTCGAGAGCGAACTCATCTTTGTCGGCTTGGTTGGACTGAGGGTAAAATGAAATGTGCTTTGTTTATAATTATCCTATATACTATTGGCTGTTTACCATTGATGTATCATCCAACTTTTTTTTTGTAAATGCAATTATCACAGGATCCTCCTCGGCAAGAAGTTCACAAAGCAATCAAGGATTGTAAAGCAGCTGGGATTAGAGTCATTGTAATAACTGGTGATAACAAAGAAACAGCTGAAGCAATTTGCCGTGAAATTGGTGTCTTTAGCCCTAATGAGGACATTAGCTCTGCAAGCTTCACAGGGAAAGAGTTTATGTCTCTCTCTGATAAAAAAAATAGATTAAGGCAAAAAGGTGGACTTCTGTTCTCAAGGGCAGAACCAAAGCATAAGCAAGAAATTGTGAGACTGCTTAAAGAAGACGGTGAGGTGGTTGCAATGACAGGTGATGGGGTAAATGATGCCCCTGCCCTGAAATTGGCTGATATTGGTATTGCCATGGGCATATCTGGGACAGAGGTATGTTGCAATTGCATTAATTAATTGTTTATTGATCTACTTATGACATTATCAAACTATATTTGAGACAGAAAACTCTCAACAACTTTTCTATTTTTCATAAAACCAACCAAAATCTGAGGCCTTCTCTTTTCAGGTTGCCAAGGAAGCTTCTGATATGGTGTTAGCAGATGACAATTTCAGTACAATTGTTGCTGCAGTTGGTGAAGGAAGATCTATTTATAACAACATGAAATCCTTTATAAGGTTTCTTATAGTTTCTCCAATCTAGTTATTGCAGCACCTGTTCTTTCTCGGATTATATATTTTCAATCAGAATTTTGTAATTTAAATCTGGAAACAGTTTTACTAAGAAACTCAGGCACCTAATGGCATATCCTGATTTGAATCATATTCACATAATTGCAACATATCTTGATTGTGGTGTCACTATATCCTTGGTCATTGACAGAATGTTATCTGAACATTGTGGACCCGATAATTCACTTTTTGGACTTTAAAATGCATGGTTCTTCTTATCAGCACATCTATAAAATTAGTTTTGGCTTGGCATCTAATGGAAAATATTATTTGCATCTTTCGATGCTTAAAAGTATGAAGTATTTTGAGGATCGTGCTCTATGCCTCTCATACTTAAGAGATTTCAATGCTAAAACTGTGTTACTATAGGTATTAAGTTAATAAAATCTAATTGTTTTAAAATAAACAGGACAGAGATTGAATTTTAAGTCAAACAATTGAAGGCACTGAAGATCTGGGAATAGCTACAGAAATAATCATAAATGAGAACTGACAAATCTAACATGCATTGCCTTTTATCTAATTGACTGATTCAATGTTTTGATTCATAGACCTTAGATAGTTCTTTAGCGTATATCAACAGCTCTATAATTTATCTGTTACTGATTGCAGGTACATGATATCCTCCAACATTGGTGAAGTTGCTTCTATTTTTCTGACAGCAGCTTTAGGCATTCCTGAAGGGCTGATTCCTGTTCAGCTTTTGTGGGTCAATCTAGTCACAGATGGTCCCCCAGCAACAGCTTTGGGTTTTAACCCACCGGATAGAGATATAATGAAGAAACCCCCTCGACGAACTGATGAATCATTGATCAGTGCATGGATCCTATTTCGTTATTTGGTAGGTTGTCAATTTGCAGTGGCTCGATCAATCAAAGAAAGTATTAATCTTTCATTTTATCAATGATACATGAAATATAAACAATTCACAACAAAATGAATAGAATAAAATTAATAAATTTTATGCATTAAACTCATACAGTTTTTGTCTAATAGCATAGTTACAACTTCAAATTATAAAATTTTGTCTTTGGGTGCCCTCATTATGAAAGTATTAGCTTGATTATGGTGATCTTCAATGCACTGATATTTTACAAGCATGCCAGTATATACCTAGAGAGGGCTCAAATAATGTCTCTACTTTCACTCTACATGCAGGTCATTGGCCTTTATGTTGGAATTGCTACTGTAGGTGTTTTCATCATATGGTACACACATGGATCTTTTCTGGGAATTGACTTAAGTGGAGATGGTCACACACTCCTAACCTATTCACAGCTCACCAACTGGGCCCAGTGCTCAGCTTGGGAGGGCTTCAGTGTAGCACCATTTACGGCTGGAAATCATCTTTTCTCCTTTGATACAAACCCATGTGAATATTTTCAATCAGGAAAAGTGAAGGCAACGACTCTTTCCCTCTCTGTCTTGGTGGCAATTGAGATGTTCAATTCATTCAATGCCCTGTCTGAAGATGGTAGTCTTCTAACGGTGCATCCGTGGGCCAACCTGTGGCTTCTATTGGCGATGTGTATCTCATTCGGGCTTCACTTCTTGATCATATATGTGCCTTTCCTTGCTCAGGTATTTGGAATTGTGCCCCTCAGCTTCAACGAATGGCTTCTGGTGCTGGTGGTTGCTTTCCCGGTCATCCTTATTGATGAGTTGCTCAAGTTTGTAGGAAGGTACAGGAGCTCATTTGGTATTCAGAGACTATCTAAGAGAAACAAGGTTGATTGAAGCCAGCCATTTGGTGTTGGTTCCCCTGATAATTTACACATCAAGTTTTTCTATAACTTCATTCTTTGCCAGACCAAGAGCTGGTTTCAAGACCTTAACAAAGAGAAAGGGAGGGAAAGTTCTAGTCGAAAGGCCAAAACTTGCTTCCAGTTCTTATTCAGGAGACCTGAGGCTGCATTTTTCTTCAATTGTCAGTAATTCAATTCAAGCTTGCACTGATATACACGAGGCCATGTCAAGTTGAAACTTACTATGATATTGGAAGAAGGTGCATGGTGCCTGAAATCCTCCGGAATAATGTGAATAAGAATCTACAACTGTCATCATGTTTACCCTGATTTATCATCATTATATTTTTTAGAACCTTCAAGAGGGGCTGTTTCAGTCAAATTAATACTATTTTTAAACATTGCATTGGATTTTATTTCACTCCCTTCCCTTTTTCTATGCTATTGTCAAAATCAAAAACAAATTTTCCTGCAGTTTTCATCTGATGTGGTGTGGGTTGTGCCATAACTTCCTGATGCCTGATTTGTCCAAGTTTGATTTGTCCTCTTGAGTCCTACAGGGCTCCTCCGCCGAACCCAAAACACAAGGCAAGATCAACATCCATCTCTTGCATCTGTTCTGTTGTGGTTTGTCTATACATGGCCAAAACTGCCTGGATATTGGATTGTCCTGCTTGTTTGCCATTCTGATACAAGAGATTATTCAATTGCCATTCTATCCAATATCTGAATCTTGATAAAAGGAAAGTGGTTCCAAATTTTCCTGTTGTAGTTAGCCATGTAAGGACAATTTTCCATGGTGGGTTTAGCCTTGCCTGTTTGCCACAGTTGATGCAGTGCATTGGAGCACAAAGTGATAGCAGCAGCAACAGAAGCCATACCTTTAACTTGACATGATGAATTCAACTTCGATTTGTGGAGGAAACAGAAGCTTAATTGGTCATATAACTCAAATCCCTTTGTTCTTGTTATTGACACTTCAATTATTTGGTTGGTTGTCTCTGTTCCAGACAGAAACTACTGCAATCTGTGACAAAAGTAATACTGCATATTAGTTCTTTGATCATATCCTTCTTATCAAACTGTTGTTGTAGTTGAAAGAGACTCTGCCTTCTTTTTGTAGAAAGATGAACTCAACAGAAATATCAAATGATAAGGTACCCTGGAGTACTAGAACACGGACATGGATTTCTCTTCTAAAAGCATATGATTCTGTGGATTACATGCACAAAAGTTTTAATGAGGGAGAAGAAAACTCTTCTTTTCGCTGCAAGAGACTAAAAGCTGGAGTTGGGGAGCGTGAAAGATGGGGCAAATGGAGCTTTCATCTGTCAACTCTTCTCAAGACAAAAGGAGATGCCTCGAGCTTCGGATGTCACTCTTTCGCCATGCTATTTGCCTCCCACCAATAAATGTCGGGTAGGCCTGAAGAGCTAATTCTGATCGACGCAGAAGACCTCAATAACAATGCAGTGATGGCATACCAAAGATCCAGTGAAGACCTACCTGCTTCTTTATTAGATTCTCCGTACACCTCAATAAAAGAAACAAGGAGAAGATTTGAGGCCAACAGATCAGTGGCCAATTTTGATTACAAGCTCCAATCATTAGTTGTTTTACGTGCATGAGATGATTACTACCAGCATGGCTGACCAAATTGCTTACCGAGTCAAGATTACCGTCCTCGTGCCAAGAACAGCTTGTGCTGAAACACAATGTTCTTGAAGCACACTTCGATTCTATAATCACAAGTACCATCACTAACAATGTTCTTGAAGCACACTTGTCCAGGTTTTGGGGGGTACCATCACTTTTCTCATTCAAATTATCTTCAATGTGGTTAGTGTTGTACTGAATGTGCAATATTATCACGCAGAGAAGGCCAAGGAAGCTAAAATAAATGCATAACTTTATAGGATGAGGGGAATCCCTCACACTTTGCATTTCTTGTTCTGGTTGTTTGCACTGTTTCCACATTGATGGCAGTATTCTTTCCCCTCAACCCCTTTTGTTGGACATATCCTTGCTTTAAGGGATGCCCACTCCCCCATTTCTAAGTTGAGGAGAGTAGAGGCATAGAGAGAAGAGGAGAAGAATAATAGGAGACCACTGTTCTTCCTCTATGGCAAGAAGCCTTCCTCCGAATGATCAGTTGGCAGAAGAAGACTACATTGACATGGACTTCAGCTCCGCCAACTTCTTCTGCTCTTCCCCTCCTCATCCTTTAATAGAATTCGAATTCCAGATGAGTGCCAATCCACAGCAGAGCCTGCCGATGTCCTCCCCTGCAGATGAGCTCTTCTACAAGGGAAAGCTACTGCCGCTCCACCTTCCGCCGCGCCTGCAAATGGTGGAAGAGCTCATCCAAAGTGCAGTCACAAGAACGCCAAGTACCGCCGCCGCAACTCCATACGAGTCATGCAACGCCTCGCCGGCAGCCTCTCGGTACGTGAGCGGAGAGCTCAACCCGGAGGACTACTTCCATGAGTGCTCGGAAGAGCTCATCGAATCGCACCCGAGGAAGTCATGGACCAGGAAGCTCAAGTTCATCAAGGAAGCCAAAGCTTATTTCAAGTCTCTTTTCGGCAAGTCTCGATGTTCGGATGAGAAATGTGCGGCCTCTGCAGACCGCTCACCTGTCTACCAAAAGGCAGCAAGGAAGAACCCATTTGGGAGAATCCAAATTGGAAGTCACACAGCTTTGCACGCCATGAAGTGCAAAGAAGAAGAGAAGATGATGGAAGAAACGAACTTAGATCACAGGAGGTCTTTTTCGAGTGCAAATTACTCGCAATCATCAACTAAATCTTTCTCTGTTTCTTCATCATGCACGTCTTCTAAATCTTCTTCCTTCTCGAGTGTCAACTCCAAGGAATCTCAAGGACAACCGATGCTGAAAAGGAGTAGCAGTGTGAATTCAGATATAGAGAGTTCCATCCAAGGAGCAATTGCTTACTGTAAGAAGTCCCAACAGAAGGACTCTGCTAGAAAGAGTGCAAGTGATGCAGGATTCTGTCTTCTTTCTGTCTCTAAAATTGCTCCTGACAGTGAACATGAGAAGCCAGGATTCTGCTGGGAGTGATGTGAATGGTACCCACTGCATTAAAAAGAATTAAGATGGTGGAATTGTACTGTGATCTTCCATGTTTCAACAACTGTTTTGAGCACAAATTTTCTCAAGAAAATCCATTATTGATTTGCTCTTGATTTGCTCCTGACTCTCATTTTCTGGACTGGGAAATTCATCAATTTACTCTTTCTTCTTGGCTAGACAAATACTTGGTAGTATGTATCATTGGTTCTAACTTGATGGTTCATAATTTTATGATAGGCAGAAGATGAAGACATTAATTATAGTATAAACATTAAAATAATCTCGGTCGAAATAGCATCTATGTGATCTTGGTTCAGTCAACAACTGGCTTAAACTAATGTAGAGACCTGTTCATGGTAGCTTGTATGATTGTATGAGATGGCTGGAGTTAAGTACCCTGAGACATCTTGAATATATAATGTTATCTTTCCTCAATTATATGAAAGATCATTCTCTCTCTATATATATAAAATTGATTACCTTAGTTGGAGATGTCTTGATGCATAGGTTATCATAAATGGATGGAGAGGTGCAGGGTGTTATGGAAATAAGACAGCTCAACTTCATTGAGTTGGAACCCTTAGAAATTTATGTGCAGAGAAAGTGACATATGAACTGATAAAAGAGTTTGAAGCTTAATAATGTTGATTCTTCAAGGCCTTCAAATAGCTTCACAGTTTTCTGTCTCCACAAATAGTATCCTCTCCCTTAAGCTCTTTGTTTTATGTTGTCTTATTGCACAGATAAGCTGAAAGAAGTCTATGCTGAGTGTATCTTTTCATACTGTCTCTAATCATTTTTCTTCATCACCATCAGACTTCAAATGTAGGACTACAAAGATTGGAATACACAGAATTATGACCTACAAGACAAACTATCTAAACAGACACACTGAAGTCCTGCATGTCCTTGTAACCTGAGAATATAAACTTAATACAAATCCATGATTATAACAGTTGTAGTCATTGCAGCAGTCCACTTTTCCACAAGCTGCAAAAGTGAGACTATGCTTTCAGAAAACATATTGCAGAAACTCACTTAAGGACAAGTTGATTCCTTGGTTATAAAGTAGCAGATGATAAGATATCTAAGGTGGAGACAAATAAACCTTAAAATAAGCAAGCATGTCACCAAAAGGATTGACATGATTTAAAGTCAAAGGAAGCAGGGGAATCCCACCAAACTCATGTTGTGGAGCACTTGCAGCAAAGGTTGATGGACAAAGAAGATGAACTCCTCACCTTTACTCCATGGGAAACTTAGGTATCAATAACATATATGGGTGTCTTTTGTGTTTTTAGGTGCAAACACCACCATTATCTTTTGGAGTATTTTATATCGAACATTAAATATGGTGGCACTGAAGGCAAACATGAGATGTAGATATGTGTCAACAATGCTTAAGATATGAGACATCGAGTGATGACTTGTTCAAATTGCACATCGATATTAATAATCATCATGGCTTTAGGAGTCACAACCTCATGGATGATCTCATGCACTATTTTAGATCTCAAATGACATGATCATTTCAGGAGTTAGAGAATCCATATCTGAGTATTGGCAACTTCAGGATGCTTGTTCTTTACTTACAATCTCCTATGTAACATGAAGCTAAATCTATGAGAGAAGAACTTCACATTGGAGGTTCAATCAAGGTAGATGATCTCATTATGTTGCTATCTAACTGCATAATAGGATAAAATATGATGATGAATAAATTTCTCCTGACATGAATTATGGACCACTGCAGCCCACAGCCCACGGCCCACGGACCACGGACCACGGCTCAACTAAGCCTCTTGGTAAGCTGGCTTATGTGAGCCGAGTTCTTTTGGCGGCTAGGGTTCTGAAACTCCTCTCTGTATATAATTCTCGCCTCCGACTAGGATTGGGGTTTGCTCGCGGCGGAAGCGGGAGAACGCGACGAGGGCGGCGAATCGATCCGATCCTAATGGGTAAGAATTCGATCCCCGAAAATTAGATCACTCGTTTCGATTGCTTTGGGGGAGGGTTCGATGGATCTCTTTGGTACTTTTTGGTTGCAGCGAGGATTAAGGTCCACGAGCTTCGCGGGAAGACGAAGGGGGAGCTTCAGAACCAGCTGAAGGACCTCAAGAATGAGCTCTCCCTCCTCCGCGTCGCCAAGGTCACGGGCGGCGCCCCCAACAAGCTCTCCAAGATGTGAGCGATCCGCCTTTTGGTCTTTTGTTCGTGCGCCTGTCATTCAGTTGTTCGGCGGGTCTCCATAGTTTGGTTCTTTTGATTTGTTTTGCAGAAAGGTGGTGAGGCTGTCGATCGCGCGGGTGCTGACAGTGATCTCGCAGACGCAGAAGGCGAAGCTGAGGGAGGTCTACAAGAAGAAGAAGCACATTCCGCTCGATCTCCGCCCCAAGAAGACTCGAGCCATCCGCCGCCGGCTAACCAAGCATCAGGTGATGCATCTTGCTGGGTCTTTTCTTCTCGTATCTTATGAATCGTAAGATAATATACTACTTTAATTGATGTTAAGAACCTGAGGATAAAACGAACTCTTGAAATGCTATTGTTCTATAAGTTGCTCCTAGCTATATATGCTGTTCACTTGTTGTTGTTATTAGCATTTAGTGTCACTTTCTTCCAAGATGTGTTTTTTATGCTGTATGTCTTGGTCATCCTACTGTTGTTCTTTCTTGATTAAAATTAATGGTCTATTTAAAAGAACATTGTTTGCCATAATAGAACCCTCATATACTTTTTTGTTTTTTTGAAAAAGGAAAGATAATTTCATTAGATCTCAAACCATTCTGAAACAATGATAAGGGCATCAAATGCTTATCAAAATTTTCTTCCCAGGAGGCTACATAGTTAGTCACCCTTCCACATTAGCTAGTATATGTGCCAATGCATTAAGGACTCGGCGTATGTGTTGGAAGTTAACAATGTTGATCTCCTTGGCCAATCCTACTATTTCCCTATGTAGATTCCAAATGTGCCTAGGCACCCTTCTGTGATCATAGACAAAATTGATTCATTCCAGAGAGTCTGCACAAACAACGGTGTTCCTCCGTCCACAGTTGTGCCCTTTGCAAGGCCTCCAAGATGGCCCTGCCCTCAGCCTGGTTTGGGGTTTGCACCTTGTAGCCTGCACAACCTGCCACAAGAAGCCAACCTTGGTTCGTTTTGACTATCACACACAAAATGACAAAATCATGCATCCCCTCTTGCCGCAAAACTTCTCTTCTAAATATCTGGCTATTCTCCTCAGGATGCTGGATGTTTCTCAGGAAATCAATAGTGGCAGAACCCTCAGCTACTTCTTTTTATTGGATTAAGTGTCTGTCTGGGGAAGACAAAAATGAAAAGCGATTAGTATCACATTAAAGTTCATGACCTTGGTTTTCTCCACAATCGTGTATTATCTGGAGTAGCTCACTGTATATTTAAGTTGTATGGTTCTGTGGATTGGTCTGTCTTTCTTTGTTTGCTTTACGCAATGTTTGCTTTACGCAAAGGTGCAGTTGGTAATGTTGGGTTTAGAATCTAACTGTTGTAGGAGAATGTAATTCATAAAATTGGATCTCTTAATCTGCTAAATAGCTTGAAGGCTTACATGGCTTGTCTATTTCAACGAGTCCAAATCCTCTGATGATGTTATTTATAACTTCAGCTTGGCAGGATTCAATTTCTTGTGAAGATTGAATTAGTTGTCTGATTATATCATTAAGTATCTCTTTAGTTGCAGAAACAGTATATGCTCAGTATTGTATGCTGTCTTTGGAGCATTAAAAAAATCTTTACTAATTAACATCTTAGCTATATACGGTTGGAAAGATGATTAGGAAAAGAAACCCGTTTTGTGCTTTAGATTTTGATCCTCCTTGAGAAGGAAAGGGCATCTGAATTCAAGTCTGTCTCACAGGGTTTATGTGCAAAGTAAATGCAATTTCAGAAATCTTTTTGTAGTGTTACTTATCCATACCTGAAGAAGTTTATCGAACTATAAAGCTTTGGTTCATGTTTGTTTTTCTGACAGACCCTTAATATAACTCTCTCTTGTACAAGCTTCAGAGTCTATTCTCAAAACCTTAAATGAAGGCGTTGTGTGCTGACTTTATTTATATGATATCGATCTTTTAGATTCTAATTGCACACTATGTATATAATGTTGTCTTTTAACAACTCAGAAACTTTCCTTATGGATGATAGATTCAACAAGCATGATATCTGTTCTCAAGTATACTTATTCAGGTCGTACAGCACATGATATAGCTAATATGTATGAAGCTGATTGAATTTGCTTTTTCATACGAAGACAATTCCATGATTTATCAGAGTAGAAACCATCTAGAATTAAGAACAATGACAAACCAATAATCTCTTTGTTCTTGTGTTTGCCTTTTGTGCCACTATTGATAAAGAGACGCTTCATTTCTTTCATATGCAGGAGTCTCTGAAGACTGAGCGTGAGAAGAAAAAGGAGATGTACTTCCCAATGAGAAAGTATGCCATCAAAGCTTAGATTGGAATGTTAGACGAGTCCAATCATGCTTTCTATCGATTACTATATGGTTTCATAATTCGACTTCTGCTGTATGGATTAGTGTACAACACTATGGTTGGGTTTTGCACTTGAAAATGGCTGAGCAACACTCGCAAGATACAGTGTGTTTGATTGCTGAATCATCTGCTTATTCTAACATTCAATTGGTCATTACATGGCATCATTGGTTTAAAAAGATTTCTTTTGTGGAATCATGATTGATGTTACGAAGCTCCTCTCTGCGTGATCAAATCTGCATATCTCCTTCATGAGAAAATGATTTTGTCACACATCAACAAGCTAATTGGTTCGATATATTGTTTGGCAAATCTTAACATCACATTTGGTCAATGGTTTACGATCAACACAAAATTTAAGGCACACAACCATCAGGAAAGGCCAAATTTTACCTCAAAATATGTAAATGAAATAAATAAAGTTGAAAAGAATGATAATTAAACGTCGAAATCTTTAAACTCCAGAAGACATTAGCTGAGTTATAATGTTACTCACCCAATTTTGGATTTCATAATGAACCTTCCTGGTATAGTTGGAAAGGTGATGCTGCATCATCAAATAATTGTTATACACACTTGGAGTGCAAGTTCAGAGTCTGTCCCTTTAGATAGAAGGAACACTCATGAAACCATACTGATGCAATCATGGCCATGTAATTAGCAAGAAGGCCAAAAAAGTTCTAAAGCTCTACCAATTTTTGGATCCTACTCTCACGATTAATCCTAGTAATTCGATCAATAATTCCCTGGTTGTCATTGTTTCCAGTCTTTTCCTAGCTTATCATGCTAAGCTGATGATCAAATCACCTGCTTAATCTTCACCTTTTCACAAGAGCAGAAAATATCAACAGCAGCTGTGCTTGTTACAATCCACATATTTTTACCTCTGCTCACACAGTTCATAAAAGTTAAAACCTGAGTGAAATCATCGAAGAGAGTTCTTAAGGTAATTGCCAGCAGGTTGTTTGATGGTATGTTCTATCATGATAAGAGCAGGTAAAAGACGTCTCTGAATTGAGCTGGTTTTACTGCAGGTCTTTATAGTCATGGATAAGCAGCCGAGAGCTTGTCAAGCTCAAGCAATGGGTGAGCGGATTTCTCCCGCATGCTTCCTTGATTGCACAGTTCTTCTCTCAATTGCAACCCTCATTTCTAGAAAAGTGCACAGGCTAAAGAACAAATTTGACTGAGCAGCATAGGTTTCAGGGAAAAGAACAGAGAGGACAGGAAAATTAGGTCACATTACAAGCATAATGATGATGAGAAGGAGAAGCAACAACGTTCTCCCTCTAATTCTTCTATCGGTCGGCACAAGGAACTGTCCGAAAGACCAGAGTTGCAGGCGCCTGAGAGATGCAAATTTGGATCAAGAGGAGGCTGGCGGAGGCGGCGGCGACGATGAAGGCGAAGGCCAGAACTGAGCATTCTTGACCTTGGAGATGCTGTTCAGGACTCCCAACGGGGTCACGTCTCCGACCACCGTCACCTTCTTCGTCTCGAAATCTATGTCGAACGATGTCACGCCTGCTCATCCACATCAATCAGCTGACGAAGCATCAGAAGAACACATCAGTGTGAAGTCTCTCACCTTCCATCTTGGAGATGTGCTTCCTGACCTTCCCTTCACAGCCTTTGCAATGCAAGGAAACCCTCAGATGCACCACCTTCCAAGATTAGACAACCTTAATATTTTGATCCCAGTCAAGCCCTAAGAACATTAAGAGAGAGAGAGAGAGAGAGAGAGAGAGAGAATGCTTTAGTGTCAAACCTGGTTCTGTGGCACAGCAGAGGATGGAGTTGAGACAGCAGCAGGTACGTCTTTCTTGATAATCTCAAGCTGTGACCGCTCGACGGAGAAAAGAGGAGGAGGCGCAGCATCCACGATGGGGAACACATCGAAGAAGGCATCATCGTTCAACAAGTACCGAGAAGAGCCGGGTGGACTGATGAGATCGGTTGGTTTGTCCAAGCTCTTCCTCCTTTGGCTGTGAGACTTCTTCTCCGTTGCAGTGCGAGTTACCGAGCTGAAAGCAGACTTTGCTCTCCGTGGATCTCTCAGGTGAGGCGTGTGGCGGTCGATGGCTCTTCTGGTGCTCGCTCGAACCATCGACCGCCGATCTATACTCGTGCATATTGCCGCTGATGCTGGTGATACACAGGAGAAGTTAACTCTTCTCATCTCCTTGAAGCCGAGCAAAGGAGTCAGAGTGGTGTGAGTACTATCATGAACTAGAGAGAGAGAGAGAGAGAGAGAGAGAGAGAAGCAAAAGGTGGCCAAAGGAGAAGGGTGAAGACTGAACCTTTATAATGACCTGTTGGTGACATATTCTCCAAGATTTTATTCTTATAAACAAATAAGGATTTAGAATCTTAAATCTAAATTTTAATCAACCTTTATAATGACCTCAGAGCTCTACTACTTGCATCAAATGGCTTGCTTTCACCATCACAAATGATACCACTAATCTCATCGTATGCTAATCATGATGTTACTATCATTAGTCTCAGGTTTTAAACAGGACTTTGATCACCCTATCAAGGTGTTTTGGATCTACATTACTGCTTCCTTTGCTTCCACCAGTGCCAGTTTCTGTCAGTAGTAGTATTACCTTCGAATCATGCTATCTATCACCTAAGAGAACATCTACAATGATTTGCATATATAGCTCGACCGATCATATTCTTTACAGCAATTTGTCTGATGCTTGGAATGTTTGTCTTAATCTCTCTTTCTTTTTCAAGTTGATCATCTTGTTGGCTTCCATTATTGAAATCCTTATGGCTGTTGTACTTTGTTTCTTTTCTTATGGATTTATCGTCGTTTATAAGCAATCTTCTAATTGTTCCATATGCTTATTCTCATCGATTCGAGTATAATAGCATTGTGGAGACCACTGAACAGCTAACCAAACAACACATCTCTTGATCAAGCTGGCAAGATCTAACTTTTTCTTGCGATGACGCCAGAAATAATCTTTGGTTATTTCACATGCAGAAACCCTAGTTTCACGTGATTTCGACCGATAGCGGAGCAAAAATCCAGATTAGAAATTAAAATATAAATGAGATTGAAGCTTGCACGCTTTAGATCATGTCAGTGCGTCCCCCCTAAGGTGCAGGTCCCTCACATTTAGCGAGGGTAAGGCATGCTTGTTCTCTTGTTTGAGGCAGTAAGTTGCAGCTCAGACAATTCCTGCAGCCTCTGTATTTAGTATTTGATGAGCACTTTGGGCTTCAAGATGGCATGACACCAGAGTTTAAGGTGGACTGCCACCTGTTTTAAATGTAAAGTCATAATGTTTCGACACCATGTTCATCAGTTAATCATCACTTTGTTCGTATTTCTGCAATCGTTATTGCACTGTAGAGTTAAAGAACTCTACATGGGTAATGTTCATGTACTTTAGAGCTAATAATTTCCACAGCATCAGGAAAACTAAAAGTTGGAGTTGGGTATAGCTTCTCAATCAAAATTCCTTCTCATCGATCTCATATTCCTCTGACAACATCATAATGCTCTATATCCTCCATAGTATGCTCAATTATTGAAACAGGATGCAAGCCTACAAAAACCACCGGCTATGATCACTCATTATGTAGATTCAAGATCAATATCAAGACTAGGGGAGATGAGATCATGTTTGCAGCTGAGTGCTGAACTGCAGGTTTGTGTCCAATGTGGCTAATAAGGCTATAATTGCTGGATTTCAGAGCTCTTTTTTGAAGAAGGAAACTTAGAATATGCCACGGTTTTACTGTTCACCTATTTTAGTCACTTGTATGAAGTCTGACATACTTAAGAAAACAAAGAGAAATTAGAATATATGCTAATAGCAAGTGCTGTGCACCAGTGGAACAACAGTGAGGACAATCAGGCACAGATCTCTAGCTCTAACGTTTAACAAGTTCACTTTCTTCCTGACATTTCTGTCATCTTTAAAGGCACAGCAACTTCATGCTTTCTGAGAAAAGTCACCACTGATTCTATTTGTTAAAGACAATCTTTTGCTACAAGTACTTACAACAGCAAAAGGACAGGTTATGCACTTCCCTTGTTACTCCTGGTGTCAGGTTTGATCCCCATACAACACACCACAAAGAGCAGCGTGACAAGGAAGCACATAGTTAGGTTATTGTGTTGCTGTTAAAAGAGGAAGAAAGAAGCGGGGCTACACATATTAAACTCTCTTTGATTTGGAGCATATGATGGAACCATTTGATTGCCGCATCAATGGAAGTTACTGTGAGTAGTTAAATATGACATCAATTGTTTCTGAATGATATTTGAGAGCCTCTACATCGGATGGTTAAAATGTTTAGAGCACTGAGTCAGATAATGATTGCAAAACCAAAATTATGCATACCATGATGTCTTAAATCCTCCTTCATTAAGGACATTAAATGTTGACTAATGTGTCTATCGATCCTTTGTATGACTCTTCCTTTTGATGAGTACTGAGCTATTCAAAAGCCTTGTTTGATGTGGTATCAGTGCTAGATAAGTCCTTGTTGGTTAATGATCATTCATTAACTCTGCCATTATCTCAAATTGTCTTCTCTAAGAACTGGAATCAGATGCTTCTAATCTTACAAATTTATCGACTTCTAATCTTACAAAACTAAGTGGGTGACAATCCTAACAATGTTCCTTTGTCGCTCAAGTCAACATTGGTTTCACATAAGTCAAACTAGTCTTCTGTGTTTAGGGTGGTTGCACATGTTGATTGTAATTACTCATAATAGATATTAGACTATTTGTTAGTTAGTTATGCTATTCATAGAAATCTGATCTTGGCATATATCAATCGATGTATTTCTATGAATATAAGATTATTATTGGATATCTCATGACAATGATGATCGAAATGATGACACATCAATTATATATGATCAGTTGCATCATATCCACTGTAACATATGCCTCGACCGAATAGCATCGTGAATTTGGGTTGAGAAGCAATGTTCACTTAAGGTGATCCGTTGATTTATTGTCGATCTTTTTTATATGCATCAATAATAATAATAATAATAATTATTATTATTATTATTATTAGTAGACAAGCTGTAGGATACTTGGACCATCCTGGGTCCCATTGTTGGTACAAAATAGTATGTCAGGTATATGGTGTCGGTGCGAGGCACTGTTGCTTGTTGTACGCAAAGAATCCTCATCTTCAGCCGTCCAGCTGGACTTTGACGGCTCGCTGACGATCTTTCCGTGATGTAGGGATGTTCGCCGAGGCGTCGGAGGGTGGGCCATCGCAAGGCAGTGACCAGACCGCGCCGTCACAGGCCTCGATCCGCAGTTGACACACCCACAAGCCCAAAGCAGAAAGAGCGAGCGAGTAGGTGCAGAAAGGTGGACGCGAGAAGAGATGAGGATCGAGGAGGTTCAATCCGCCTCCAAGAAGCAGCGCATCGCCACCCATACACACATCAAAGGCCTCGGCCTCGACGTATTCCTCTGTCTCTCTGTCTCTCTGAATTCCTTCGAGCTCTCGCTCTAGGCTCTTCGTGTCCGGTTTCTAGGGTTTAAGGTTCTAATTTTTTTATGCGAACTCCATCATATCATTCTTTCGCTGATGAAATTTTGCGGAAAGAACAATCTTGGTTGGCGGTTTTTGTTTCTTTTTTTCTTTTTCTTGAATAAAGATTGTGACTTCAATGGAAAAGTCGAAACTTGGGATGGCTTTTTGATGTCTGTATTGCTTGTTAGGTTAATGGGAATGCGCTTTCTCTGTCTGCGGGGTTCGTCGGGCAGATGGCTGCAAGAGAGGCAGCGGGCATTGTGGTGGATATGATACGGCAGAAGAAGATGGCCGGACGGGCACTTCTACTTGCTGGGCCTCCCAGCACTGGCAAGACTGCTCTGGCTCTCGGTATTTCTCAGGAGCTTGGGAGCAAGGTATATCTCTCCGCTGATCTTTTTTTTTGTTCTCTTCTTCTCTTCAAACATCATGGGAGTATCGTGTGGCACAATTACTACTTGAAGGCTCAGAATATGGTACTTGCCCATTGTATTGTGTTTTGATTGTTATGGTTTGCATACATCCATAGAGTCAAATTTTTAAATGTTTATTTCACACTTTAAAGCCTTTGGCTGCTACTCTATTTTCATGCCCTTATTGAATGCAATTAGACAGAGTTCCAGTGCATTAATGTCAGTGAATGGTATTGGAAATGCAGCATGAATTCTCTTATTTTGCATCGAAGGAACATTCATATCGGATATACTTGAAAATTTTGAGTTCATTTTTGACTATTGTAAAGATACTGATTTCAAAATGATGTTTAGGTTCCTTTCTGTCCGATGGTTGGATCAGAAGTGTACTCATCGGAGGTCAAGAAAACTGAGGTTCTTATGGAAAATTTTCGAAGGGCCATTGGTCTGCGTATTAAGGAAACCAAGGAAGTCTACGAAGGAGAGGTGTTGGTTACTGAATTATGAAATTTAATCTTGTTATGTGGTTCATTTTGTTATAGTATCCCCTAGTCTATATATTTTTATTCTCTTGCATTGTGATTGCTCTTTTGTCCTTTTTTTTCTTGTTAATTGCACAATGATGAGCTTGATCTCTGTTTCAGGTGACTGAGCTTTCTCCAGAAGAGAGCGAGAATACATCTGGTGGATATGGGAAAAGCATAAGTCATGTAATTATTGGGTTAAAGACTGTCAAGGGGACTAAGCAGTTGAAGTTGGATCCAACTATTTATGATGCTTTGATCAAAGAAAAGGTAGTATTGGCTTTGTTATGATATAAATTGGTGTCTTCTTTTGGGGAACCTTTATTAAAAGGGAAAGTCTCTTTTCTCTACATACTTCTTGTCTCAGGGCATTGTTTATGCATACAAGTATTTTACCTTTCCTCAAAAAGGCAAGCTACTTTAGAATTAACTTCTCTTGTTGAGCAAGGGCTAGTGCTCCACAAAGAAATAGCTGTTGTTAACTTCCTTCTTATGAGGGATATGTCTTCATTTTTTTGTTGAGAATCTTAGTAAAATTCTAGCCCTGTGGGTATCTTAAGCTAATTGATGAGTAGGAGGTGGCATTATGTCAGATCTCTTATGATGTTGGCTTGGTCATCATACTGATTAATAATATCCAGAACTGATGTCTGCTACTCCCTTGTCATTTGTTTGTTATTTCTCTCTGCAGATTGCTGTAGGTGATGTTATTTACATTGAAGCAAATAGTGGTGCAGTGAAAAGAGTAGGTCGGTGTGATGCTTTTGCTACAGAATTTGATCTTGAAGCAGAAGAGTATGTTCCAATTCCCAAAGGGGAAGTTCATAAGAAAAAAGAGATAGTGCAGGTACTTTATTACTTTTTACTCTTCCTTTATCGGACATCAGGTTGTTCTAACTAATGCATCTTGAGGCATATAAATCATCACATGTTTCTTCTCACTCTCTTTTCTTAGTCTTGCCCCTGGAAAATAAATGTATTTTTTGTGGCAAACATGTACATACACTAACGATCCAAGAGGGTTCGTGAGAGCATGAACATATGCACATTTCACGTCCCTAACCTTGCTGTTTACCTTTGTACCTTTTCATGCTAGTGATTTCTATAAATCTCTGTCGAATTATTAGCAAGCAACACTTTATCGTCTGGTACTATTCTCTTTTTACTTGAATTGCAATGCCAATCACATGGATAAGACGATCATGATCTGACAGCAGACCTTCCTTCTAGAATACTAGTCCAGACATCCAAACAATTGAAATGTTGTTCAGAAGATAATAAAGGTAAATTTACATAATGATAGTAAATAGCAGTGGCAATGTGGTTCAAAATGGAAAACATTAAAATTTCTAACTCCATTGCAGCCTATTGTTGTTTGATGTTAACTTCGTTCTGTGTGTGTGATTTGTATTTGTACAAGAGTTAACCTAACATGTAAGAGTAGGTTGTTACTTCAATCAGTTAAATATCCCTTTTAGTTATGATTCTGTGTACAGTTTTTTCTATCTTTATGTTGGTTATAGCATGTTTGCCACCAGCTTGATTGTCCATGTGTAGAAAAAACATATTGTTACAAAGTACTCAGAGAAACATGATTTCAAGGGGAAAAGAATTAAAAGGAAATAAAAGCCTTGGAGGTCTACAATTGATAATAGGACAGCACTTCTGTAGATGGTTTTCTTGTCATTAGTTACATTGTTGTTTGAGTTCAGAAAATTTAGAAGGATAATACATTAATAGAACTATTATTTAAAACTTCCTATTCTTCACGTCCACAACTATGTTAAGAGAAATTTCACATCGTCGTGTAAGATACAACCAATAAGGAAGACTGGTTGTGTGATACCAAACATCATGTTACAGTAATTAAGCAGTGCTTTTTGATCCTGTTAGAAGTTAGAATGGGCATGTTTTTTAGTTTTCTTGTTCTTGAGCCAGTGTATCTTTAGTTGGCATATATGACAAATATATACTGTCCTATGGTCAGCATGTGGAGTTATAGGCAGTCTGTTTTCTTTATGTTGATTTGAGTTTCAGTCTTGTCTGAGAAGAAACCATTATCTACTAGAGCAATATTTCATGGTTTATTTAAATAATTTTCTCCTTTATTCACTTAGATACTTTCTCTCTGTGTTGTATTGTTTCACCAAACATTTGTGTTAAGAGGAATTCTGATGGAATGAATATGTAAATACATGTACTCATATACACTGTGGTGGTGAATTGGGTCGAAAGACTCTAGTGAACCACTTGGTACCAAAAAAGAATTAATTATATTTTTTCAGTGTGTGGCATGTTTTGAGACTCTGGACATGTTTTCATACACACTTAAACCAAATAGTACACTGTGTAAAAGAAGCTGACTAGAAATTTGATTTACTTTTACCAAACCATATACATTTGCTTGGATGATATATTTTAGTCATGTTTGGAAGGTCTTGGAAAGTATGATGTCCAACTCTTTCATTTGCTTTCTTCAGGTTGCATCTTTTTGTTGGAGTTAAATGTACCTCATAGTTTGCTCCTTTACTCTGAGGTTAATGACAAAGTTATTCACAATGAACAACTGCTTTATGTCACTGCATGTTTTTTAATTTTGGAGAGGGATTGGTAAGCATGATGATCCACAAGAAATAACTCTTTCTAACTGAATGCTAGGATGTTACACTGCATGATCTTGATGCTGCAAATGCTCGTCCACAAGGAGGACAGGATATATTATCCCTTATGGGCCAGATGATGAAACCTCGGAAAACTGAAATCACTGACAAACTGCGACAGGAAATTAATAAGGTTCAGTTGTTGATAGTTGTGCCTCTCACTTTTCATTCTTGTACACTTGTACAATTGTCCTGCACATAAGTGTTGTCTCTTGATACGGTTGTATACTTAAATTAACAGGACATGCTTAATGTTGACTAAACTTTGCATGTGTTACAGGTTGTTAATAAGTATATAGATGAAGGCGTTGCGGAGCTTGTACCTGGTGTCCTTTTCATTGACGAGGTAGCTTTTCCTCTAATTTCAAACATTTGGTATCTGAATACTTGGATTTATTTTTTAAAATATTGTAAATATTGTGCAGGTTCACATGCTAGACATTGAATGCTTTTCTTACTTAAATCGCACATTGGAGAGTTCATTATCACCAATTGTGATTTTCACTACCAACAGAGGAATATGTACTGTCAGGTATGAGAATAAAGACTGTAAAGTATGGGATTAAGCAAGGTTCGTAATTTCGTACCATATCGGAGTATTAAGCTTAGCGCAGTACGGTACGATACAAGTATATCGAACGGTACGCTTAGGCGTATCACTTGGTGTGTGTGTGTGTGTATATATAAAATAAAAAATAAAAAAAGGTGACGTCGTCTCGTTTCTTCTCTCCATGCGGATGAGGGGAAGTTGCTGACGACACCGAGGCCTTGTCGCCTCAGACAAGGAGGAGGAGATATCTCATCTGCGGCGTCCGGCGAGGGAGGGCGGCAATGGATCGAGATTGTCAAGGGAGAGCGACATTGGATCTCTAGATTCTCCCTTTTCTTTTCCCTCTTCTTCCTTCTCCCTTGGCTAATACCGTCCAGTAGCCGGCGGCAACGGTCAAAATCGATCGTTACTGACCGATTTTGGGTGATAACAGGATGGAAACAGCCCCAATCGATGGTACCATCCGGTATGGGCGGTATCATTCGAAATTAAAATCCTTGGGATTAAGAACAGTATACTAAAAATAAAGTTAAAGAATAACGTACTTTTTTCTGACTATTCTGGTAAAACGAAATAACTACATGACAACCAGCTAATTTGATGGTGGGATCTGATAAGGTGAAATTTTGTTCCAACTTTGCAGACTGATTTTTCTGAATTTTGTGGATTTCTATCATTGTTCTTAAAATGGACACTCTGTCACTTGTTTGCTGGAAATTTATCTACCAATCCAAACATGCTACCAGAATGCCATTACATCACGTTAATGCTCTATTCTATTTTTTTATGGCATCACTTCGATGCTTATACTCAGGGGAACTGATATGAATAGTCCGCATGGGATACCAGTAGATCTGCTTGATCGTCTTGTTATCATCAGGACAGAAACATATGGTCCCACAGAAATGATTCAGGTTCTTATTATTGGCCCTCCATAATTTGAAGTCCTCAATGGCCACGCTGTCAGATTTATATTCTTCTTTTATATTTCTATATCTCGTGTTCTGAACCAGATACTGGCTATTCGAGCTCAAGTTGAAGAGATTGATATCGATGAAGACAGTTTAGCTTACTTAGGGGAGATTGGACAACAAGCATCTTTAAGGTTTATAATTGCTATTTCCTTTTTTCTTTTGTATATTGTACTATTCTGCTTATTGGAATACCAGACAGCATTCACATTTATTTTCTGCCATAAATTATGATAGATTTCTTTAAGACTTAAAAACTGCAATGTTACATGCTAATGAGCCATGGATCTCTGCCTTGTATTTTTTCCATAAACATTAACTTTGGGGAGCATGCCGAAATTTTTTTTTGCCCTTTAACTTCTTGGTTATAAATCTTATATATGCCTCATTTTTTCTAAGGTTAAACATCAGGCAGCAAACAGCTCTTGGACTTTCATTTGCATGGTTATCCTCGAATATGCTTGTACCCGTAAACGTATGTTGTTGTAAAACAGAAGTCATGGATGTTTTCAGACACATGCTCAATGTACTGTTGTTATCTGTTAATAGTTGTGATCAAATGGGCATTCATCGGATTTGTTGTATCTGTAGCCTTTGACATGAAATGTATCTTGGTGCAGAGTAGTTGGCTCATTTTTAAATGGAGAGAACATGGTATTTGAACCAAACTTATTCCATTTTTTTCAGTATTTATAGTGGAACTAGACTGATTATAGGAGCAAACTTAATCAAGGTTATTTTTGGTAATTATACTATGTTTTGAAGATAAGCTTTTTTCACATATTTGTCCTGCAAAAATATTAAATTCCACATTAATTATCATACTTTGAAAATATGTATATGTTACTGAAAATTAATATTTAAATTCTCATTAAATTCATTTTTTGGTTCGGTTTCTGGGTTTGATCTCTTCATTTGTAAACCCTTGTCACTTGTTTTTTGCCCATTGTTTACCTAACCCTGCTTTATTACGTTGGCTCGCATTAACATGGTTTATGAAACCGAGCTTACAGAAATTTTATATGCTCCTCCAGGCATGCAATTCAGCTGCTATCACCTGCTAGTATTGTGGCAAAAACAAATGGAAGAGATAAGATTTGCAAGGCATGTTGACTTTCTCTCTCTCTTTAAACACTGTTTCGGTATATCTAATGTGACATCTGTTTGTAGAAATCAAATATCACTGATTCACTTGTGACTTACGCAGGCTGATCTTGATGAAGTAACTTCTCTATATTTAGATGCTAAGTCTTCTGCAAGGCTTCTTCAGGAGCAGCAAGAAAGATACATAACCTGATCAGATGTTATCTCCCCTGAACACTATCCCTACCAGAAAGGATAGCAGCAGCCATTCAACATCTGATTGGGAATGCAGATATCATCTTCCTTGATCATTATCCCTTCCAGATAGGAAGAGATAGCAGCAGCAGCCATTCAACGTTCGATTGGGGATGTAGAGTGAGATTGACAGAAACTGCTTTTAGCTGATCAGCATCCAGATGTAGGGTGATGGTATAGGCAGCAGCAATTTTAGCTAGGATGGTAATTAGGGAGGTGTAAGAACAGAAATATATTTTGTGTTACTTTATCTACGTTGTATTATTACAGTGAGAAATAACATCTCCGGTGTGTTCTTCATCTTCTATTATTATCATATTTATGGTTATAGTGGACACTCGATGTGCGATCAATTGAATTTATGATAGAATGATGCTGAGAATTATAGCAATGTTGCCCTAAATGATTGATTCGAATTGTCTGCACAACTCAGTGGTAATCGTTGCATCAACGAGTCTCACTTTGACGTGAAACCCTTGAGAACCAATGTTAAGTGGATGAGATGATACACGTTAGATCTCAGTGTTCCGGAGGTAGAAGGAAGTACATAAGTAACATCTAGCTTCTGATGTCATGGTTGCAGTTTTGCATCTGAGATTTGACCGCAACTCAACCCGAGTCTGACCCCAATCTAAAATATCTGCCCATAATTATAGATAACCACAAGTTCTAATTCCTAATAAGACTGCTGCGGGCGTGAAGTTGACCTCCAATTTGGACGGAGCCTCCACACGCCCCTAACACATTGAATCAACTCAAGTCTGTAACGAGATGCCCCCAGTAGCAAATAAAACACGTTTGGTTTTAGTCCCACATCGCGGAAGCGGCGTTCCTACCCCCCCATCGCGCGTGCTTTTAACACGGTTGAGGTAGCTGTTAATTCCCAAGCAGCTGCGTGGTGGGCGCAAAGCGAACTATTCTTTCGCCTTTTACTAAAGAATACCGTGTGCCCGTCACCTCAAAGCAGCATACTCCAATTTTTGTAGGGCTTCCTCCTTTATAGGAAGTGGCCCTTTCAAATCAATCGAAGTTGTAGTTTAACGGGCGAATCACCACCAACCTGGGGGTGCCCCTCTTGTTTACCTGCTTATCACCAACCTTTGAAGAACGCAAGAAAGAAAAGTAGAGCCACCGTTGACGTCTTATTCATCTGAAAGCTGCCCCCAGAAAAGCGTGACAGGTCTGATGACGATGGCTTACCGGCGTACGAATTAGGTTTAGCGAATCCTATACATCTAGAGGGATCAGCCATCCCCATGCTTACACATGTACGTACTACTCCACACCCCAGATTCCATGCACACCACCACAGACTTCTTCCTCACCATTCCACGGCCCATACATTAGACTCGATCTTCTTGCCGCGATCGCGACAGACGTGATACTAACTAAGAATTCATGGAGGTTACTGATGGCGACGGCATTGGAGGGTTCTGATCTTAGTCTTCCTTCTCCGAATCTTTGGCGGCCGACTCGGATAGCATCTTCTGTATCCTCTGCGCGGCCTCCATCTCCATGGCCTTCTCCGCTTGATCTTTCATGTACGCCTGGAAGAACTCCTTGTTCTCCTTCTCTAACTCCTTCCAGACTGCGACACATGACACGACACCATATGTCTCATGCTCCATGAAACGAAAGAATGCGAGGTGTTTGGGGAGCAGAAGATGATGGATGATGGGATACCAGTGGAAGTGATGACGGGCTTTATGTCGGCGTGCTTGGCGAGCGCCTCCATGCACTCGTCCTTGCTCATGTGGAAGACGAGGCATTGCTCGATCAGATGTTGCACCTGCAAACCACACCATCAAACGACTGCAGTGCAAATCAAAGTCCGACATGCTTCGTCGCTCGACGTACCATGCGGATGTAGGAGGCTGATGATGATTCGCCCATGACTCACTTGCTATCACGATCACTGCAAGCTTCAGCGTTGCAGAGTATGAAGAACTAAGAGGAAGGCGATAAGTAGAGTGCGGGCAGGAGGGCATTCGAGGACGTGGGCCAGGGATCACGTGGGAGACGAGAGGCCATTGGCGGAGAAGAGATGAGGGAGATCTCACGAACCACGTAGCCTTCTCGACAGCGGCGACGGAGTAACTGTGTTAGATTCGCTCTGTCTCAGGAACAAGCCAATAAGAGCATGGCACATCAGAATCTTCGTGGACTCGGGAACAGGAAAGAAGCAGGCGAAGATTCAGTATATCTAGCCGAAAAAGAGAGTGGACGAGCAAACGTGCGCGATCGCTATATAAACATTCAAACGCAAATCGAACAAGCAACAGAAAGATAGTCGAACAATAAGATTAGACAAATAAGGACACTCACAAACTTGGAACAAAGCATTTAAACAAAGATAAAAAAAGCACAATAAATGCTTAATATCCAATAAAGTTTTCTCCTTCAACATAGAGTATAGAATGGTGGTGTTCTGTAACGCAGACGGTTTTATACTTGAGGAAGGGTACCTGTGACGTAGCTGCATATAGGTGCGGTTCCTTATGAAGCGATGCATCCGCGTCAGACGAGCCAATTCGTTGCCAGGCTCGTCCTCTTCTCCGCGTCCCCATCACTGTGGCTTCTTGTTTCGTTGCGGTAAGGTTGCTGTTGATGCCCTCGGCTCCAAGGTTGAGACAATGGGCAAGGTCCAAATGGCACCTACCGGCCACTGAGTAGAATCGTCACGCACACACATCTGACGCTCTGAAATGTATCACACTTGCTGTAATAGCTCGTGGCCATCCTGCATTGCATGATCAAACATGCAGATGTCATCACTGTCATACGATTGTAACAGTGGATAGACTGACAAGTAAGATACCTGATGAAGAGAAGGAGCATCAGACCCGATTACATGGCTTCAAGTCTTCCTTCTCCTTCAAAAATTCTGCCACTCTTACGGATCTCTTGCTCTCCACCTGTTTGTTGTGGTATGCGTGCAGGACTCGGTTCAATTATGGGCTACGGAAGAACATAGCCTAAGATTCCACTTTATCCGGACTTCAGGTAAAAATCGAATCTTTTGTCAGTACTGACATCTTCTTCCATCTACATCACAACGACTACTCATTCGGGGGGGCCTTCACCTGTACAAAAGGACAAAAAAAATAAAAAGCAAAAGGACTGCGCTTGCTAACGAAAGGAGAGGAATCAGCTCATACCCATTCATTGAGATATTCCCATTATCATTCTGGAGTTGGAAGAAGCCCTGCTTGAGCTTCCAATCCCTTCTCTTCATCTCTTCTCGTCCTCTCATCATATCCAAAGTTGCTCCTGGCCACCCTCAATTGTGGATCACAAATTTTGCTGTACTACCAAGGAAGATGGATTTCAAACAAGAAGTTGCTCCTGGCCATCTTCAATTGTGGATCACAAATTTTGCTGTACTACCAAGGAAGATGGATTTCAAACAAGATTGAGGAAGACAGATAAGTACAAATTACCAAAGGTCTTGAATTTTAGATAAGCCTAAAATGCCAATTTTTATGGTTCGATTACGTATGGGCTTGCGTGGCATTAGACTAATGATTAATCCAACAGCTGAAAGAAAAATATCTGGTGCACGGAGAGAGATGATATGTGGAGTAGCAAATATTGCTGCTCCCATGTCCATCATTGATATAATCAGTGGTGGAACAAAGATCAGATATTCTGTAAGACCTACCCATCAGGCTTCACTAGTTCTCCTAATGTATCAGAGTGAGGAACACTGAAGCTAACTAACCTGTAAATTGAATAAGAATGGTGGAATGGAATTCATACGATTTAGGGATTGGATACATCTAAAGCAGAATGCTTATAGAAGTAGTGAATACATGAATTTTTACATATCTGCCTGATTTATGTTCAATGCTGGCTGAAATCAAGTCAATAGACAAAAGATAGCCACCTGTAACTCTAGTGCTTTAATCAAAATTACGAAGTATAAATGACTCGATCAAGTAACTAAGTAGTTTCACAACAGAGAGTAAATTTAAAATGGTCATGTGTAGGTTACCAAAATGAATATTTTTCTTATGTTCTACAAGGAAATGCAACATAATCACAATAAAATTATCATAGTATTTTGACAGTAGTAGTAGAACAATCAAGAAAATATGTCTGCTGATATGCCTCTATAGTCCATTTTATGAAAGAATTTTGTGAACCATCAAATATGGAGAAAATAGTGTGCAGAGAGATGTGTTTCAGGTGTCATAACTGAAAGGCAAATAGATAAGAGATATTTACTGTGATGGTGTGATTTAGTGTAGAAACATTAAAGTGGTGCTCCCATAATCAGGAGAAAGCAAGAGGCACACATGTAAAATGCTCTTCCAATTCTTACCCGTAGCTGGCTTCAGACTTCCTTCCCCTGCGATCATATGATTGATGTCAATTAGCAAATAGTTGTGATCATTCTTGCTAGTGCACGGCTGTCCCAAAGGTACAAACTGCAAGAGACGTTTACATTCTAACAGTAAATAATAACATTTTTTTCCTATGTCAATCAGGGGGCTACTTTCAGTAGCTAAAGGGAGAAAACCACATTCCTTCCTAATGTGTTCAGTTTAGTCACCAGAAATCATTTGAAGCAGCTTCCCTTGGCTGACTTATTTTGCTTCAGCCGAAATTAACTTTGTCATGCTCAAGAATGGAAAATCATCATAGACAGTTCACAGTTAAAAATTCAGCAATCTTCCTTAAAATCATAAATAAAGGTGTCGACTGGTGAAATGAAATCACTACCTATACCGCAATCGGCTTAGCATGCATCTCACTATAGAAAAGTCGAGAAAAAAGTTATATAGCTAAGCAATATGCAACATCTGACATTATTGTATTTACTTAAAGAACTGATAGATTGTGTTCATTGGCTATTTTCTTTGAACGAATTGCAGTTGAAATCATCAACAACCATCCTGCGTTTTAATCTAATAAGCTTGAAGAACTCACAGCAATATGACTTATGTAATTAGTTCAGAAAAATGAATTATTTACATGCATACAAATTTATAACTATTTGACCTAAACAAATATTCATATTGGGGTTATCAGCCACAGAAAGAAACGTTGGTTTTCTTCTGAGTCGTATATCAGCTGACACATATTGTTAGATGAAGAATCAGGATGTGATCCATGTGCAAAATTTAGGCCAACCTAGGTATCGACTTATGTTTCCACTTTCCACCAAACTGAGAGGAATTGATATGAACCAGCACACACCAATGACATGATTTTATACTTTTCTCTTGCACTGATAACCTTCGGGATTTGCAAGAATAGCATCTTAGATCTAACATTCTAGAACAGTAGACTTGACCACTACATATGATATCATATAAAGGTACTCGAGCACAGATTAATAAATAGTTTCATAAGAATAGAACTTATGCCAAATTAATCAGAAGGCATGTGAGAAAACACAAATTAAGGTTGCCTCCCAATTAGATGACAATACCATCTACACTAACTAGATTGCAGTTGATGCAGCACATAAGTTTTTAGTTAAGACCATCATATGTTGACATTAATGCATATGAGAAATTCCATACTGTGATACCAATCAGCTCCATGAAAATAGATCTGATTCAGTTGGGAAGCAACGTCACCATGGTAGTAGGTGTATATCGTGTGAATTTTGTCTTCAAGGACAAGTTTTATTAGTGATGATAATGAATCAAAGATTAGAAAGTGTCTCCTGCTGCCACCACTTTCTAGATGAACCATTGTTAAAAATGTTCAATGCATTTGAAGACCAGCTACCAAACTCCATTTGTAATTATTGTGCGGTAAAAGAACTTGATGCTTCAGTATGCATTCAGCTTGACACAGAACAACCAACAACTCAAAGATGTCAAATAATTACTGGCATAGTACGTAGCTCATAGTCTTCTTAAGCCTACTTTCTTCAGCCTACAATGGGAAAATAGCAATCAATATCAACCATGAAAAGATATGAAATTTCAAATTTGCACAATACAAGTATGTCCCTGATTATCATTTACATAATTCACACTTGAATGACTGCTATAGATAATCAATGTTCATATAAAGAATACAGATCAAATCTAAAGCAGAAACAAGAAGGTATAGGATTTGATCTCTCCAACCAAAGTGTCATACCTCATACTTTAGATTACCCATATCCGTGACAGTTTAGGGAAAAAGAGTTGTGGAGTATCCAAGATCAAAATAACACCCAAATGCATGTCTGCAACACCCAATGCAGAGTGAAAACAAATCTGGATAGCATGATTGGTGAATCAAATGACAAAAAGCTTATGACTGCATTGAAGATTCCAATAGTTTAACAAGAAAGTGAATACTGGAGACCCCATTAGTAGAATATTCACCTGTAATAGGTAGATCATATAAGGGAGAATTTCCTACAGATTGATTCTGAATGCTAGAAATTTTAGGTGGGGGTAAAACCACTAACATTCTTACTTGCGTTTTTGCCTGAAGAGGATGATCCCACTATTTCAATTAACCGACCATCTCACAGACCTCCTCCAAAGAGGAGGTCAATCCTGACCACTCATGAAGCAACAAAAATCATCATATTGTTCAAGAGAGAACATTCGGTGGAACGTTATGAACTCTACTAGAGGCTAGGGATTAAATTCAAGATACCCTTCACATCCACTGAGAAGAACTAGCCTCTTCCACTCAGCATCATCTAACCATGGTGGTCATTAACACCTCTTCGATGCCCTGTTTTATTATGTTAGATTAACATATTTTGTTAGGTTAGTGCTTACGGTTAATGGGAAAAAAAGATATCAATTTACGCCAATTCACGAATCTAAATAAACAGAATGAAAATCTTAGGAAAAAGGATATGCAATCTTTTAAAATTATATATGAAATAGTTATCAATTTCTAGATATCACTCACGAAGACATAAACAAAATAACAGAACATTCAACCTGGACTAGTTGACGAAAAGACCAAGTTTCTCTGATCTATGGAGAAGCGCATTGGTTGAAGAACCCTACCACATCCTCGCTTGGAACAGATCCTGAGCCAGGGTTTCGAGGTCGACACATAGCTAGAAGGGTTTTTAGTCCCACATCGCAAGAGACAGAACTTTGGAGCTGCAACACGTCTTTATAATAGAAAGCACGTCAACCGCTACAACTTGCCTTAAACTAATGAGTAAGGAAAACAAAGCGGGCGGTGAGAGCTGCCCGCCGCGCTGTTACTAATTGTATGCGCACGAATTTATGGAGGGGTGAAAGGCTGGCCGAGCGTTGACGCTGCTTACTTTGCAGAACTCGTTCGTGCGGGCCTCCCAACCCACCACCAATATCCTTCCATAATCTTATTAATCTATCATTTCTAATGTTACAATTTAAACATTGTCAGGCTAAAATTGATATGAATAATCATTGGGTAAATTATAAGTTCGAAACAGTTTATATTCCTAGAAAATCATTTACATCATCTTCCATATAAATCTTCATTAAGACTATCCAGATTTATTGGCATGCAAGCATGAATTATCGTTGATTACTATTATTAAATATTCAAGTAATATATATACGTATCCGATAAATTGAGAATATTATGTGATAATTAAGGAGATTATACACACAACTTCTTGCTGAGCTGTGTGGGTGCAACATAAAATAAATAAATAAATTTATATCTCCGAGATGTAATATTTTAAACTAAGAAAAATCTTCTGCCCCTTCATGATTCAAATGCAATCATTATTTTACATAATTAACATAAATAAAGTTGGAAAATGGGTTCCACTCACATGCCTTGAACATGCAGAAGTTGGAAGCAAGTTTTCATGTTTAAGTCCATATTCATCAATGGCGTTTGTTCTTCTACTAATAATCAAATAATATTCAATTACATGTTTATAAAATTGTTTCTTGTCATATTTTCATGTAGTGGCTGTATCAATCAAACAAAAAAAAAAGTATTCAAATATACACACATTAAAAAAGTCTTCAATCCTTTTATGTTTTTGTGGATAGCAAGTAAAATAACACATCTGTTAGGGTTTCAGCAATTATTTTTGTGCTTGATTCGTTAACATATTATATTATTTGGTACATTATAGAAGTAATTATATAAAAATATAGAAGTAATTATCGAAGTTAACCATTAAAATTTCTATATGAATCTAAATAATAAGAAATAAAACGGAGAAATAAGTAATTTCATTCTTCTCTTAATTTTAACATTTTATTTTATTTTATTTTATTAATTTTATTGATTTTTTTAAACCGGAGTTCGACTTTAATTGACTGGTCCAGACAAGACTTAGCCCGAAGTTTTGAACCGGGAGGAACCGGATCGGCCGAACCCCACACCCGGCTCACTCCCTCATATAAAGTGCGCGACCGACCTCAACTCCACTGCCATTTCTTTGTTCTGGCGAGGAGTGTCTCTCTCTTCTCGATCTCGAGAGCCTCCTCTCGATCTCCTCGAAGGATCAGATCTCGCTTCGGTCGGCGTGTTCGGCAAGGTTTGCTCTCCATATTCAGGTCGTTTTGTTGTAGATCGGCTCGTTTCTGTGTTTTTCTAGTGTATCTTGGTGTTTGACGGTTTCGTTGTTCAGATCCGATAACACTCTCGGTATCTGAGTGAATCTGGAGATGTGTGATGTTTGAATTGCATTTCTCAGCTTGATCGTTCCGGATCTTGCCTTTTCGGTTCCGATCGGTGAATCCAAAGTGGTCCGATAGGTTTTGCCCGTCAAAAGATTTTGGTTATCTTTTTCTTTGCTCGATTATGAGTTAGGTCGTCGGATCTATATTCTTAACGAAGCGCTGATTCGATCTTCAAATAGGTCACTCTATATGTACATTTCGGTGGTCAGCTATCTGTAGATTCTGTGAATTATGTTCTGTGAAGAATGCCTTGGTTTTTCTTGGTATGACTTTTCTTATCCTACACGAGGATTTTAACTGCTTGAATCATCATCCAGTGTCGTGTTATTATTGATTTTGTTCGATCTAACCTTGCGTAGTTCAACTTTTATGGATGTATGGGACTATGTTGGTTGTCTTGAGAATAGCTGAACTTGTATGCAGCCGACACATCTGACATCACCTTCAGAGAGCTGATCTTTTCTAGAGTGGAATTTTGTTACATGTGGACACTCTTGTCAAAGTAATTGGCATTTATTTTGACATTCTCCTGATTTATGTACGAGTACAGAGTTACAAGTTATTTGTTAAACCTGTGTTACCAACAATCAATTTTGATGTTGCTTGATAGTTATTGCCACCTGTTATGCTCACTTATAATGACAGCTTTCTTGCCCGATGATGGGCTAGAAAATTCTCGTGTTTGTTTTCATTTTCGAAAAGACATCAAGTTTCTTTGTCTCCTTAAATTTTTGTATCTTCTATTTCTCATTTGGACGTGTAAAATGAGTTAATATTTTGTAGTCTCTTTAGCAGGTGCTGCAGATATTGTTTCAGTGGCTAGACTATTTTTATGTGAGATGGTAGAAACATGATCTAGTTCTGAAGTCAGATATTCTTTTTCTTTTTTCTTTTCTGTTTGAATCTCTTGGAAATACAGAACTCTGGTAATGTCTCAGAGAGGTTTTTAAGCGTGATGGGAATTCGCTTGGAATAATCCACATTATTGTCATTAACTAAACTCAAACTCTCAAAGGACTAATCTGTACAATAATTTGAATATTTTGGATTTTAGGAATTAATAAGTGAATGTATATGATTAAAAGGATTAATATAAATCTTAAGTATTTTATAGTTTTCATTCAAAGACCCTGATTGGAGATGTCAAAACTCAGGTTTCTGTTGCCCATAATGTTAAATCCCAAACAATAAAAAAAGTTCGGACATTATATTAGGTGGTGTTTACATAAAAAGTTTGATAATAACAAAGGAAAATACAGCCACCTAACATTCAGCATTCATGTAACAATCACCCCTGTTTACCACTCCACTGCTTTCAACCCAGTCACGTCTTAGTTTGATAATAAATATGATGTTTTCATTTGTGACACTTCATTTCTGCTTTTTCTCCTTTATCATCTTCACTTTTCACCATATTCTTTTTGCTTCTCTCCATTCGTTTCACCATGTGGTTGTCCTTACTATTTTGATTAGCCAAATATTCTATTTGGTGGCAGTGTCTAATCTATATGCCCTATGTGTTACATTGCCTTTTGAAATGATTAGTATGATATCTTCTGGTGATGACCTGTTTCATGATATCTTCTTATGTATTTAGCTAGAAATTTTTGGCACGGTTTTCATTCTCCATATTGCTGTGGGCTTGTACCAGCATCTCTGGATCTCTTCCCACATCTGGTCTGGGCCAAGTGTGATAAAATGAGGAATTAAAAAAAAAGAGCAGTATGTATTACATGCTTGTATTGAAGATGTTTTAAAGGCTTATAAACAAAGAAGCATCGTGGATTAATCTGGGCATGCATGTCCCTGCTGTTTGGGGTCCAGAATAATTCCAAGTTTATTTGGTGCTTGTTTGACCTTTATTAATGTCCTGTGATTGCATGACTGATGCCCATAATTTTGATTTCACTAGGGTGTCTATAGAAATGGACATTTCAGAGGGGCAAATATGCAATTCCATGAATACATGGTAGTATATATGCCTAAAAAGACCTTTAGCTGTTTTTTCATGTGTTGCCTTTTTCACTATTATTTAGTCTTTTTATCCTACCTCTCTCATGACTTATCCGATAATGTACTTTTTATGCTCTTACTCTTATTTTAATTAGATCGTGTTTATAATCTCCTTTGATTTCTTTAATATGATGAACATACCACGGCTGTTAACTTTGTTCATCATACGAACTTGGATAGGTAGAACACAAAAAGAATTCATCTATTCCTAATGACAATGCAACCTCGTCGTATATGTTTCTGTAGTTTTGTAGGAAATGTCTGTTGCTGAGGATTTGTGATTACATAAGAGACTGTGGATGAACTTCAGCAGCTATATTTCATAAGATATCTTGTTTATAATTTTTCCTTTGTGGTTATTTTGTTTTATATGATGAGCACGACTAGAAACATTGTATTAGTTTGAGGTTATATTTTATGAAAAGTAGTACATTTGAACTCTGGAAAGTCATCGATTCCAAATTAAGAAGCATCTTTTTTCATATATGGCTGCACAGAATTATAAGAAATGGCCGATGCTGAGGATATTCAACCTCTTGTGTGCGACAATGGAACCGGAATGGTCAAGGTCAGTCTATAGCTGTTGCATATGAATCTGTGTTTGCCTCATAGACTACAAAAATTCATGCTTTTGTTTTATGAAAAAGGCTGGATTTGCTGGCGATGATGCACCAAGGGCAGTGTTTCCCAGTATTGTAGGCCGACCTCGCCACACAGGTGTTATGGTTGGGATGGGCCAGAAAGATGCTTATGTTGGTGACGAAGCACAGTCCAAGAGAGGTATCCTCACCTTGAAATATCCAATTGAGCATGGAATTGTTAGCAACTGGGATGACATGGAAAAGATCTGGCACCATACGTTCTACAATGAACTCCGTGTTGCTCCTGAGGAGCACCCTATACTACTCACTGAAGCCCCTCTCAACCCAAAGGCAAACAGAGAGAAGATGACCCAGATTATGTTTGAGACTTTTAATGTGCCAGCTATGTATGTTGCCATTCAGGCAGTCCTTTCTCTCTATGCCAGTGGCCGAACAACTGGTTTGTATATTCTCGTTGCTTGCTTGATATTGTTATTTGTTTTTAATCTTTTCATCTAAGATGCCTGTGACAAAAACTTGCAGGTATCGTGCTTGATTCTGGTGATGGTGTGAGCCATACTGTCCCTATTTATGAAGGATATGCTTTACCTCATGCCATTCTTCGTTTGGATCTTGCTGGTCGTGATCTTACTGATTGCCTGATGAAGATCCTTACAGAGAGAGGTTATTCTTTCACCACCACTGCAGAACGGGAAATTGTAAGGGACATCAAGGAGAAACTTGCCTATGTTGCTCTTGATTACGAACAGGAGTTGGAGACTGCCAAGACTAGCTCAGCTGTCGAGAAAAGTTATGAACTTCCTGATGGGCAGGTCATCACAATTGGGGCCGAAAGGTTCAGGTGCCCAGAGGTCCTCTTCCAGCCATCCTTGATCGGCATGGAAGCTGCTGGAATTCATGAGACGACATACAACTCCATTATGAAGTGTGATGTGGATATTAGGAAAGATCTGTATGGCAACATTGTGCTTAGTGGTGGGTCAACAATGTTCCCTGGTATCGCAGATCGTATGAGCAAGGAGATTACAGCACTTGCACCAAGCAGCATGAAGATAAAGGTGGTTGCCCCACCTGAGCGGAAATACAGTGTCTGGATAGGAGGCTCCATCCTTGCCTCTCTCAGTACTTTCCAGCAGGTCCAGTTTATTTTTTCTTTATGCGATGGATCTTATTTATATATGTATTAAATATTTGACCATTGCATGTTTTAATTTTTCAGATGTGGATTACCAAGGGAGAGTATGAGGAATCTGGTCCAGCAATTGTCCACCGGAAGTGCTTCTAAGCTTGTTACCTGCTTCTTTGAGGGAGTGTTTCACGCATGTTCTTGTGGTCTTTGGTTTGGTTCAAATCATGATTTTGCTGAGTAGTGTCACAACTGATTTGAGACACCTATGTACTCTTGAGTTGGGCTGATAGAAAGCTCTCTTGTCAGGTGTTGGTTCAACAGGGAGGCCGCGTTTGTATTTGCAGTGGTTGAAGCAGTATGTATCAAATGTTTGTTTCTTTGTATCCATATGAATCTAGTAAGGTTGTAATCCGGTTGCAGTTTTCAAGTGTTCTATGCCCTTGTTTGGGGACTTATCCTGAGGTTCACCTTGTAGCTAAATTCTTGTACGAGGATGTTTCTTGGTTTTTCTGCCATATCATTTTCTTCGCATAGATGGAGTGTCTCCCCGTCTCTCCTGCGTTTTCAACCATAATGTTGACCCGTGAAACATAAAAAGAGTTTGACGTATTCGGATAATAAGCGCCAGACCGAGGCGTATATTTTAAACTATTAAAATATTAAATGAACAAATCCTTTATTTTGAAGGCTGCAAATTTCTACATTACTTCATCCGTTTTAATCTCAACCGCTCAGCTTTTTGAATGGAAAATACATGTCAAATTATAATTATGAATGGTTGAGATAAAAAGAGAAATTAAAATTGGAAGCTTTCGAGGGACCTCCCATAGCTTTTGGGGCCTATAGAAATGCATCAAGTTTGTTCGGTGGACTTGGGTCAAAATAATTTGCGATCATGTGATCCTTTGAATGGTAGATGTTGAAAGGGAGTTTGTGGTGATTGCCTGCCACATAAATCCCTATATCTTTGATACATGACATTCATTGTATTGGATCATCCATGAACTCTTTCGAACTCCAATGTAATCATCTTAGATTGTACTATAGAAAAGACTCTAAAATATAGTTTTTTAATATTTTTGTATTTCATTCTCTCCAATACAATCTTATAAGGTTCAACTTCAAAAATAATTGTTCAACACCATTTCATCTTAAGATCAACATGAAATAAAATCTAGATAGGCTTCGGATAACATCCAAGTTAGGACAATAAAAATCTGAATTAATATTTTTAAATTAAAAATATATATAAAATTTATTGAACTGGAAAGGTAAATATTCAATTCTATCTCGTTATAATTGACGAGTCCGATCAAAATGGATCGATTAGATTATTAAGCTGACACCGCATCCGCCTGAGTTCCCATCCACATACATTCCACAAACGTAACTCGCCGGGTTCCCTATCGAAGTCCGTCCCCAACCTGCACGTTGCCGCCAGCGTCATGTGACCACACATCTCGTCAAAGACTGGCCACCGTACGATCAAATCATGCGCATTCCATCTTTCATTTCATTTCTCCGGTAGACGCCACGTGCGACACGTATTGTAGAGTCCGTTCACGTTACGAAAACCTCACTGCATCCTTTTTTACAGATAAAACCTTAAAGATACATTTTTTTTCAGATTCCTCCTTATAACCCTTTCCTTTTATGGGGAAAGAGAATGACTCCTCCTCCAAAGAGAGGAAGAGGAAGAGGAGGAGGAGGAGGAAGCTATAGCAATCAACTTGACACCCTCGATGGCGGCAACAGCATCAGCAGAAAGAGGATAACGGGACTTCCTCCATCCTTGCAGCCTCAGCAGAAGAACTGTGTGTATGCCATCCATGGCTTCTGACGCAAGGATTTGTGTTGGGACTCATCCTCGTCCCAAGAAATCTCCGTCATCCGTTTCATTCTGCAACAAAACTGGACGATGGTTTGAACAAAAGCTTCCTTCGATCCTCCCGTTTCAAGAAGCAATCTTTGAGCTTTCTCAGTCACAACTAATGAACCTCAAGTCTTCTTCCGTGTTACTGACACCATGGCAGAACAAGCTTTCTCCTCATGCAGCATTCATGACTTGGAGAAGCTTCGCAGGCTGTTTCCCAACTGGCCAACATTGGTTGCAAGTCGTGAAAATGCCTACTCTGCTTGTTTTAAGAAAAGTTAATATGTGCTTCGAATGTTTCTCGATAATTAGATCTATATATCATCCAACAGGTAATCTGCCGCACACTGTTTCGGATTTAGCATAAAATGAAAATATGATGTATTAGGACATACATATGGAACATTTTTATTGCAAAAATATATGAATATGTATTATGCAAATAACATTAATGCGTACAGATTATTTGTCACTGCCAGGCTTTTATTTATGAGAATAATTATCTTGTCTGAGCATTCATGTTCAGATAAGGTATTGTGCATAGTATCCATCAAACCCCATTCTCACCATTACAAACATATAATTTGAGACACTAAACTAAATTAATCCTGAGGTAAATAATAATAATAATAATTATTATTATTATAATAATTATCTAAAAAGTTGATGCATTGTTCCTTTTTCCTTTTGCTTTGTTGGGACCCAACGAGAAATCCATAAGAAACAAATTTGAGGGGCACAAGCAATCAGGCTTAGCTTGCACGCTGCAATGGGGGGCGTTTTTGCAAAAAGGAACAACAAGAGTTTGGATTTAAAGAGAGGCCCACGACAATTGGACGGCATAAGTGGCTAGCACCCCTTATGATTGGCGGAAGGGAAAAGAGGAAGAGAACCGCGGTGTAGGTACTTCGCCCGGTCGAGAGAGAGAGAGAGGGAGAGGGAGAGGGAGAGGGAGAGCGATCCAGTCAATGGAGACCCACTCCTCCTCTGCCTCCGGTGGCGGAGTGGCACGGGTGGCCAGCAGCAGCAGCCTCGGCGGGGGTGGGGGCCGCGCCGTGAAGGTGATCCCGCTGCAGGACCCGGCGCCGCCCTCCCCCTACCTGCAGTCGGCTGCGCTCGCCTCACGGTGGGCGGAAAAGGTCCGGGGCATGTCGGCCCTCGCGTGGCTGGAGCTCCTCCTCCCCTGCTCCCGGTGGATACGGACGTACCGGTGGCGGGAGTCCCTCCAGGCCGACCTGATGGCTGGCATCACCGTCGGCGTCATGCTCGTCCCTCAGGTTTTCCCTCCCCCCACTTATCTTTCCTTCTCTTGATCCGATCCCATACAACCTGGTCCAACGTCGCCGATGCTGTTCCCTTCTACTTCCGTCCGTAAAGCAATAGAGGAAGTAGCTATCTCGATACGTTTCCTTCTCTTCGCATATGCCTTAAGATCCAAGAATTGGATAGTAATTTCGATGAGAATATGTTGATTTCATTTGATTTGGCACGTCGTAATTTGGATTGATGGAATTGCTTCAAATTGATAGGCCATGTCGTACGCCAAGTTAGCAGGCCTTCAGCCAATCTACGGGCTCTGTAAGTATCACCACAACCGCATCTCTTTCTGTTGTAACTGTCACATTTGTTCTTTCACTCATCGAAGTGATCATGTGCTGTGGTTCTGAAGGCCAATGCTTCGTGCAGATGGAGGCTTCGTCCCGGTACTCGTGTACGCCGTTTTCGGGTCTTCGCGGCAGCTCGCGGTCGGCCCCGTGGCTTTGACCTCTCTCCTGGTGTCCAATGTTCTCAGCCCCATCGTCGACTCTTCCGACGAGCTGTACACGGAGCTAGCAATTCTGCTGGCTCTCATGGTTGGCATATTGGAATGCCTAATGGGCTTGTTCCGGTAATCGAACTTCTCCTCTTTCCCCTAACTTGAGTAGTTTCATCTGCTCTTCCAAATGCAGGGATCAAGCGAATCTGTTAGAACATTGGCAATTTATAAAAACTTGTTGGCATTAGCACATTGCCATTGTTAATTACGTCTTATTCCTCTTTGTTCATATTGCTCTGGCTTTGGGCACAAGTGCTAGCTAAGTCCGGCAAATTATTTTCATGATCCATGTTATTTGTATTCTTCTTCAGTGTTCTTAAAATAGTATCTGTTCCATGCGACTATGAGACCACGTTAACTTTGATTGACCAATGTTTGTAATTTGCTACAGGCTTGGGTGGATTATTCGTTTTGTTAGTCACTCTGTGATATCAGGCTTCACCACTGCTTCAGCCATTGTAATTGCATTATCTCAGTCCAAATACTTCCTGGGATACAGCATAGTTCGCAGCAGCAAAATAATACCACTAGTCAAGAGCATAATTGCTGGAGCAGATGATGTGAGGTTCTCATGTTGTTATTGTTTGCTTTCTCTTCTGGTATTTCACTTGTTTTATTGCTTTGTGTTCTCATTTTATGTTGGTTGTTTTTTAGAACTAGGACCAACTTGCCAAACCTCTGTGCTGATCGTCGATGCAGCAAAGCTGTTGGCATTGTTGATGGTCCATATTTGACCAATAAAGATTCAACTAAAAAAGATAATCCATGTTTCTTATTCCAGTGAAGCTGTTCTCTCTCTCTCTCTCTCTCTCTCTCTCTATATATATATATATATATATATATATATAAACATATCATTGAAGGCCTTGTTTAATCATATATTACTTTCTCTCCTTGGTCTTGTTTTATCTTCTTAATTTTCTTTCACCTATAAAATCCGATAAATAGATCACCAGACATTATAGTAGTGATGCAAATGAGAAACAATTATGTGCCACACTAGTTCACAAATCTTGATATGTATATTTGGCCAAGCATGATTTAAAACTGATTGTGTTAACTAACACTGATTGTCTCTTGACTGTCTTAACTGCAAGAACTAAATTCACTAGATAACCAATGATAACTCTGATGATAATTTAACTGAATCATCCACACAACTTCCTGAACCTAAGCCTCTAGTTGTTCAATGACGTTAACTCCTCAAATTTGACCTTCAACACAACACTTAATAATTTAACTTGACATGAATAGATCCCTTGGGATCCATGTTACTTCTGCATGCATTTGTTGTTATTCATGTTTATTTGTTCATCTATAGTGTTTCTTTTTCTTTTGTTCATCACAAAATTAGACCTAAAGCGCTTTTGAAATATTAAAATAAAGGCAATGATCACTTGATATATGGTCCTGTGTTTTGGATTGATAAGGTGAAAAATGGCTTGTGTATAATGAACAAATAACTAAATTTTATAGGTAAGTTTCTTTTTCTTTGAATTTGAGCACTTCTTTAAATGTGAAGGATTGTACTTGTGGTCAGTGTTGTTTGTTCAGTTGGCTGTCAGAAGGTATGCAATTATTTGCATTGAGCATACTAGGAATTGCCAATTTTGAACCATACGTTTCTTGGTTGTAATTTATTAGCTCATGAAAACATGGCATGATGGCATGGCTATCCAAGTTCCTTGTTTTGTTTGGTAGTGTCTACAAGAAGAAGGTAGTGACTCCGTTTGGGACATTGACATTATCCTTAGGCATAAACTTGGAAGAGGAAGCTCTAAGTTGAGTTATAACTAAGAATAAAGGGCAAACCTGATATCCAAGATTCCCATCAAAACGGGGTCTAAAGAGGGTTAATATACATAGCCTTACCTCTATACTTATTATAGAGACATTGTTTCCGAGATCTGAGCTCTAATCTCCATGTACACAAAGGTGCAACATTATCATTGTACCAAAGTCTGCTCTCAGTCATGATCAAGAGTAAGAACTATTAAAAAATATATGCATGATTTCTCATGCAACAAGTGTAGCTTCATTAGAGGTAGTAAATAATCATCTTCTTTTATAATGAAATCTCCTTCAGTCCCATCTATAGGCAGCAGGAAAATATCAGAATTTTGGTTGTAAAATGTTGCACAAAGTCCAATTTTAGTAAGCATTCTTCTATCTGGGTAAGAAATATTTCCAGTCATAAATTATTTCTTTCTAAAGATATTTTTCTCTTAAATTTTAATGAATATTGCAGGAATATTTTTGTCACATCATACTGAAGTTTTCACTTCTTTGTTAATAGTCATTGATTGCTTGTTTCCGATGCTAATATGCTTCTCTTTTGAGATGCATATGGTTGTTTTAAGCATTTTTGAGTGGGGTTTCTTGAAGCCTTTATATTTTATTCCCCTTACATGAAAATATTCTTTTTTTCATCAGTTCTCATGGCCCCCCTTTGTGATGGGATCTATTTTTCTCACTGTTCTTCTTACAATGAAGCACCTGGTAGGACATTTTCACCACCTATTAATGAATTTTAGTCCCATCATATGCATCTTAAAGATATTATGTTCAGTAACATTCTACTATTATTTTGCTTAATATGGTACAGGGAAAATCAAATAAGAATTTAAGGGGTGTCAGAGCAGCTGGACCCCTTACAGCAGTTGTTCTTGGCACAATTTTTGTCAAAATATTTCATCCATCTTCAATTTCGGTGGTGAGTTATGCTCAATTAAAGCATTATTCTGAATTTTAAGCTTGCATTTGTAAAAGTATATCTGTATTTTTCCTGAATCTATTAAGGTCATATTCAGACAACATTGTGGCATTTGTGTGATGATCTGTTCCTTGCAATTGTACCCCACAAATCTAAACAATGAGGTGGAATACAGGTGAATATAATCATTGTCAAAAGCAAGGGCTGTCAAAGTGCCTGCTTAATTGACATCAGGTCCCGCCACTAGCCTTGATATGAATGGAAAAATAAGAATAGTATTTGACAAAACATTGCATTGTACCAGGACAAATAAAGAGCTGAAGAAATTGATAACTAAATAAGAAGTCAATTAGATAAATTTGAGGTGGAAAAGTACTTATAAATTAAATGAAATCTTGATTTATACCTTCATGCATATGTTTGCAGCTTCTCTTCAGAAGCTTTATAAATGGGTAAATATACATGCTACATACAAGCTTTAAGATAATGCTGCAGAGTTATTTTTTGGCCATTTGAGAGGTTGAGGTAGACTTTTTCCCTTGAGCTTTAAGATAATGCACACTTTTGAGCTAATAGAGCAAAATTCTGTTGAAATGATTGTAGACTTTTTCCCTTGTTAACTTTTATTTGACACTGTGCATCACAGTTGACAATAATTTGAAAATTTTTCTAGCTCATATCAGTTGAAATTCTTTTGATTAGCTTGTGAGATACACTAATATTCAATGAGATCAAATCACTCTTAGAACTGAGTTATTAATACATATTGTACATCACTATGAGTTATGTGAATGATATAATGCAAAGTTATTTAATATGTTTGATGTTAAACCATGTAATGAGATCTGAATAGTTATTTTATTTAGGTAGGTGAAATACCTCAAGGCCTTCCAAAGTTCTCCATCCCTAGAGGATTTGAGCATGTGAAATCTCTAATTTCAACAGCATTTCTCATTACTGGTGTGGCCATTTTGGTAAAAACTCTGCAATGATTAATTCTTGTTCATCTTGGAAACAATATATTTTGTGTAATGCCAACATCATTATTTTACTTCACATTAATATCAGGAATCTGTGGGTATTGCCAAAGCTTTGGCTGCAAAAAATGGATATGAATTGGACTCGAATCAAGAGGTAATAGTTGGAAAATTTTACAATGCAGTATTGTCTACTTTTTTTAAAAAAATTACATATTGACTTTCACAATATTGTATCTTCTGATGATCTCACTTATTCATATATGTTATAATCGTTAGTATTTCACATTGCTATCATTCATTACCCTGAATCGGGGTCATGATCTGTATAAGAAACAGTGTTTGGGTTTTAACTGAAGTGGATAGCATGTATTGCGATTGCAATGCAAATGATTCAGTTTAAGATGCAAATTGCATTCTGGCTGTAAGTCCACCACTTATGTGGTTAAATTTGGATAATAATGGTTCAGAAGCTCTAGGGCTATGGGTGCAGTATATGCAATTGCAATAGTGGTTCAGAAGCTCTGGGGCTCCATCTGAAAAATGTCTTTAACTGTGTGTCATCAGCCTCATGGTTGGGAACTGCTCATTCCAAAATTAGTTGACTGGTCTAGAGTGATGTAGACAATCTGACACCATATTGTTATTATTTTAACTTTTGGAGCCACCACTTAGAATTGTATTGGCAGATTTTTTTTTTTCTGATTCATTGCCGTTGCTTTTGTGGCACATTTGAAGTTGAATTTCAAATCCAAACCTTGTCGTAAGTACTATTTGCATGCTTAAAGTCAAGTTGGTCATGCTGTTGGCAAATTTATTGTCCAACAACTCAAATTCACACTCATCGACTATGTGGATGCAAAATTTGTATGCTTGAATTTTTCTTGCATATAAAAATCTCAAGCTTATTTTTTTACAGTTATTTGGTCTTGGTGTGGCGAATATTTGTGGTTCATTCTTCTCATCATACCCTTCAACTGGTAAGATATATTGTTTGTGAAGAAACAAATTCCTAGAACTGAAGTTCTCCCATTCTGTATGTACAATATACATGAAAAACTCAACGTTGACTTGTTTCTATTGGATGACATTTTAGAAAATTTATGCAGGTTCTTTTTCAAGGTCAGCTGTAAATAATGAGAGTGGAGCTCGAACTGGGCTATCTGGAATTATAATGGGAATTATAATGGCATGTGCTCTTTTGTTTCTGACACCACTTTTCACTGAAATACCTCAGGTATGTCTGTAGCCTTAGATCTACATCGCATGTTATAGTGTCATTACAGGTGATTTTGATTTGCATATTTTATATATGTTTGGCTCTAACGAAATGTTTACCATGAAAAACCACTTCTGACCAATAGGATACAACAACCCTGCAAAAGGGGTGATCCTAGAATAAGTCTGATTTCTAGCCTTGGCTGAAAATCAAATATTTATGTCCGAGATATGAAATATCTCTGCTAGACTAACAGAACCTTTTCAATTATTTAAAGTTTGAATCAAATATGCTTTCTCTATTTGCTTATATTTTTTATTGTTATTGTTATGGAGTCAAATAGTATGTGAGATACCTTCTTTTTTCTATCTGTCATTCAGAACTGATTGCATTTATGGCAACACAGTATTTTATCATATATTGTATCAAATCTTTAAGGACAAGGATGATTGTATCTCTGACCTGTCTAGTTATGGTTGTATTAAAATTTCCATTTATTCTTCTAGTGCAAGTTCCATCTGAATGGATGATGTCCTGATCAATTAGTGACAACAGTGTCTCACTTAATCAGATGACTATTTCTGTGTTTCTTTCATTATTTGAACAATTGGTAATTTTTAAGAACTATGATGTTAAATAAATTTATGGGATGTCTGTGGCATATAAATTATAATTGCTTCTTGTAGTTGTTAGGAATGTATTTGTCATCACTGAATTTCCCTGCTTACCTTCGTTTTTGTTGCACCCATTTCAGTGTGCTCTGGCTGCCATCGTGATATCTGCTGTCATGGGCTTGGTAAGAATAGTCAATGCTTGTATGTGTTCTTTAACTTCTTTTTCTTCACTCTTGGGCCTGCTTATCATTGTGATAAGACCCTAAAGTCTTATCGTAGGCTCTGATACCAAATGATAAGACCCCAAAGTCTTATCGTAGGCTCTGATACCAAATGATAAGACCCTAAAGTCTTATCGTAGGCTCTGATACCAATTGATAAGACCCTAAAGTCTTATCGTAGGCTCTGATACCCAATGGTAAGACCCTAAAGTCTTATCGTAAGCTCTGATACCAAATGATAAGACCCCAAAATCTTATCGTAGGCTCTGATACCAAATGATAAAACCCTAAAGTCTTATCGTAGGCTCTGATACCAAATGATAAGACTTTAGGGTCTTATCACATTGTTACTTATTTGAAGGAACCAATTCCGTATAAATTGCTGAATGACTGGAACTGATGCCACTAGTGGCTGTTGGATATAATGCCTCATTCAATAACTTGCTGTTATATTTCACCTATTTCTACTACTACATTGTTCATTTGGACAGCTTCATATTCCATTATTTACCAACATTTAAGATATTGGATGCAAGAGTGACACACCTCCAGAGGGAAATATTTTCAGAAAAACTATTGTTCACCAGCATCACTTCTTGGGAATAAGAACCTGTTTTTATTCTTCTACAATCCAATACTTCTATTTGTCAGTGTACAACCTTATGTAGCTTCTTGCAAAAAGAACCGGACCCTTACCATTACAATAATTTCTGTTGCATTAAATTTCAAGGTAGCAATTGGTTGGTATATACTTTGGGCTGCTGAAAGCAGGGGCATAATGTCTCTGGAATTGCAGCAACTAAAAATCATCTTCTCTTTCTGAGTGCCTCTCTTATTTCCTTCTCTACTCTGAAAAACTTGCCAAAAATTAGATGCTTCCATGTTTCAACCAGCTATTGAATGTTGATGGAGTCCATGTATGGAGTCCATTTCATGTTTTTATCCAGAGCATAAGCGTCAATGCAGATGAAAATTGATTTTGGTGCTACTTCATAACCTGTTGATACCCTCTTTTCCCCCTTTATTAATAATCCCCTTCTCTGCTTTGGCTGGTATTTCTAAGACCTGGTACTGCCTCTATATATGTATATCAATATCAACAATGTTTTACTATAAAAACACAACTAAGTGGATTCTCAGACATGATTGTTGATGCCTTCATATGGCATTGTTGTAGATGTATCTTGGAATTGTGATGTTCTAGATATATTAGCAACGAGTTAGTGAAGGAAACATAAATCTTATCAGTCTATCTCTACACCAAAGCATGCATCATTGCAGAAGTTTTAAACTGTTTCTGACTTTAGTTTGAACACTTTTTTAGGTGGATTATGAAGAAGCTATTTTCTTGTGGTGTCTAGATAAGAAGGATTTCCTTCTATGGACCATTACTTTCATTACAACATTATTCTTTGGCATTGAGATAGGTGTTCTTATTGGGGTAAGTTCTAATACTTCTGCTTTCAATGCTTATATCCAGCCATATACAATTTATTAACCACTCTTTTAGATGCTACACACATCTATTTACTTTTGTAATGTTATAAATTCTGATAGGATTCATATATGTGAGACCAGTGCATGGGGCTTATTCTAATATGTTGATGAGTATTGGATCTAATGTAATGATCACTTGTCCAATATAAATTTCAGCTCTCCCCTGTGCTGACAAAAATGTGGAAGAAATAATATAAGGAAGCACTTCCAGTTCTTATTAAAGAACTAGTTCCTAGTTGAATGTCTGGTACTGCTACATTTCTCACTTCATTTTCTGTTTGTAAAAACTTCAATTATTTAGTCAATTCACCCTGATTACATTAGACAATAATGCAGTCCTTCACCAGTTCATGTAATCAGCATTCACTAAAATCATGAAATCAAAGGAAAGGAAAGTTTGTCAAAATTCATTGTCACAACATACATGTAATATTGTCTTGCATTAATTGGTCTAAAGCAAGAAGCACGCCAGTCCTGCTATTTTGTGATAAGAATGATTTATCTATCACTCCTGACCTCTAGAATGAGGCTGTCCTAAGACCAAACGTACCAAGTTCTTATCATTTCTCTTATGAATATGCTTCTGAGGGCTTAAATGTAGTGTCACCATATCAGTACATTCTGCATTAAAATTTTTAGATAGTTTCACTATGGGACATCTTTTTTTTGCAGGTCGGCGTCTCACTTGCATTTGTCATCCATGAATCAGCAAATCCTCACATAGGTGAGTTTTATCTTTGAGTTTGTTAGCTATGCTCATGTGCTAAGATCATTCTGGACTTAGTTGTGATTGCAATTTCCTGTGTGTTCTTCTACTTAAACCAGCTTTATCCAAAGGAATAGTTGTCTTGTAGTGAATGGAAAAAGAATCTCATGTTTCTCAAGTTGCGGATCAAGAATTAAGCAGTTATTATGAAAATAGTTTAGCATCTATAGATGTTTCAAATATTATCTGCAGCATATAGCAATAACTTCTAATTATGCTCATGTTTGTTCAATTTAGATGTTAACAATAAACTTATTTTTAAAAATTTCATATTGTTTTTTAGCTGGCCCCAAAAGATCCATGGTTAGGCATTCTTTGGAATTAGCATATACCAGGTAATCTGGCCTGATCATGTTTACAATTCAACATCTTATGCATGTTACATGTGCTTTGTTCTTTCAAATTCGGGTAGTTCTTCCAAGTATAATACGAACCACTTTGTCTCAGAATAAAGGATAAACACAATCACTACATTGCTATCAGCCAGTAGTACTTATAGCTAATATGTGCATGGTTCTTATTGCAGCTGTACTGGGACGTCTTCCTGGAACCACTGTATATAGAAACATTCTGCAGTATCCTGAAGCATACACATACAATGGAATAGTTATTATCCGAATCGATTCACCAATCTATTTTGCAAACATAAGTTACATTAAAGACAGGTGAGCATCAATCTCTTTCAGAATGCATGATTTTGGGAAAAATTAAATGTCATCAGGACTTAGCCATCCAGACTTGATCATCCTTTTAAATTTACTGACCTTCTAAGGTTCGTAGTGCGTTGTTTGATGATCATTGCAACCTGTTGCCAGATTACGTGAATATGAACTCGATCTTGATGGTAGCACAAAACGTGGGCCAGATGTTGGAAGAATATACTTTGTTATCATTGAAATGTCACGTAAGTTTTCTATCTGCTATTTCAAATTGAAATCTAAGAAATTTATTGTACTTTCTTAGATTTTCATTTAGAGAATTCTATTTTATGATGAGAGTTTTCAGCCATCTCTATTAACAATGCAGTCAGGAGGTCTTGTTGTATCATGCTGAATTAATGTCTTTGATGACCTTGGAACAAGAAAGCTTGAAAATACAAATCCAATGATAACAGGCAGTGTAGTATATCGATAGCATAATGATATGGTAGATTACTAAAACTGGTATCCAATCAAAACTTAAGTCAATTGATTTAGACAGCAATTTGAGATAAAACAATGCTTGAATTCGTGAAGCATGAATTTATTTGCCTGTCTTTTGGACAGAATTGGATGTAAAAATGCTTATACAAGCCAAAATCATCTCTTGATCTTTGTCATTAAATCTTTGCAGCTGTTACATACATCGACTCTAGTGCAGTTCAAGCTCTAAAGGACTTGAATCAAGAGTACAGATCACGAGGCATACAGGTTACTGAAAACATACATCAAAAAGATCATTCAAGAACGTCATTTTGCATGACCACCAAATCTCATTCAAAATTGTGGGTGCTTTTCAGATCGCCATTGCCAACCCTAATCGGGAGGTCCATCTACTGCTCTCAAGGTCCAATCTCATAGAGATGATTGGCAAAGAATATTTCTTTGTGAGGGTGCATGATGCGTTACAGGTCTGCCTTCAACATGTGCAAAGCCTGAATCCATCATCACCTAAGGTATCATCAGGCCACACTCCGCCGAGGACGCGTAGCTTTCTGCAGAGTATATGGAAACAAGGTTCAGATGGTTCCACCCCTGAAGTGGAACCACTGTTGCCCCGTAATGAAGTTTAAATTGCTTTTCCAGGTATTTGTTGCGAATCCAAATGCTTGATTTGGATTTGCATTTGAGTTTATTGTGTGGATGATTTATCTCTGTATCATGGCTGTCTCCCTCCGATTCAAACCCATATATTTTTCTTGTATACGGAGTAGGTAACAGCATAGTCCATTCCATTGATCATTGTTATGTCTATTCGTTATTGTTGTATCTGAACAGTCTCCAGAAAAATGAATTATGGCTTTTGAGATCTTCAACTGATGGACCAGTATGGTACTGTGGCATCCAAAAACATCAAGTACACACACACAGACCAAAGGAGTTATACTTTACTAAGGACTCTCGTTGCAAGTAATTTAATCGTTCATATGTTTTAAAGGAGTTGCAAACTACTACAAATTCTTAGGATGCCACAAGTACAAGTCTAAGTTGCAGCTCAGAAAATTTCGGCATCTCAGGGATAAGCGACTCAGAAGGGATCATGAATCTCTCCGACCATTGCTGTAGTATGTAAGCCTTGTGACCCTAATCATTTGAAATCATATGAGAGATTGGTTTAGCCATGAAAAACCAGTTTATTTTATTCTTTAATTAATAAATTTGATTAATTTAGAGAGATTTTACACATGTCCAAAACAAATTAATAAATTTGAATCGCGTCTATATAATAGATAGAGTCTTCTCTTAGTTAAACCCAACATAAAAAATCCATAATCAAGGTCAGTTATTATTTATTTGAAATTCTCACTTTTTATTATGAAACTAACTAGAACATCAAATGGATCACATCGGGAATCCCACCTAACCTCAATCTTTGTGTAGGTCGACATTCAATTGAATTTTCATACCCCTTCAACTGCACCTAGGTTTCTTGTGCACATGAGCTTGAATTAAATTAGGTTGATCTAGACATCACCGACATTCTCTGCATCATTTTGGCATTAGAATAAGGGCCCATGTCATAAGAATGTCATCTCGCAAACTTGCTCAATAGGTGCTCTAGTGAAGGCACTCTGCCCTCAATCCACAGGACAGTCAGAATGGCCCAAAGCATTCCAACATTCAATACATTTTTCATGGACATAAGTATCTCTAAACATGTGATGCATCATATACGAAGAAAAGCATCCAAAGTATCTAATGTGTCCTTTGCTAACAAAAGAATTTTGACATTTGATGCGTCTTTCATGAACATAAGCATCTACGATGCATTATGCATCCTTCGCAGACCAAAGCATTCGAAGCGTCTGATGTATCTTTTGTGGACAAAAGCATCTCGACTTTCGGCGTGTCCTTCATGAACATAAACTTCTCTATCATAAATAAAAAACATTCAAATCATTTGATGCACCCTTCATAGATAAAAGCATCCCAACGTTATTGTGAGTAATTCATGGACATAAGCATCTCCAACGTATAATACATCCTTCGCGAACAAAAATATCTGAAGCGTCTAATGAGTCCTTTGTGAATGAAAGCATCCCTACTTTTGACGCATCATTCACAGATATAAACATCTCCAATACACGATGCATACTTTACGAACAAAAGCATCCAAAGCATTCGACGCGCCCATCATGCGCAAAAAAACCATCCTGACATCCGAAGTGTCCTTCGTGGACACAAGCATCTACAACGCCAAATTCATAGACAAGTGGGCAAATCGACCCAACAAACTAAGTTGCCCAATATTAGCAAATCAAAAGTCTTTATAGTTAATCGGCCCAGCAAAGTAATTTACCCAATGTGGGCAGGTCGAGAACACTTATAACTGGGCAGCCACGTAAAGACCTTGACTTATCAACCACTCATCTGACATATCTTCGAGGCTTTTGACACGTCAACTTTTCTAACATGTCATCCGATCTTCCGACACTTCGTTTGAACCTTTGACACATCACTTTACGCGTCAGCACATTGCCAAATCCTTAAACATATCAATGTTTCCATGACATCCGATCTTTCGATGTGATATATGATCCTTCCGACACGATGCCCAAACCTTAAGCACAAAATCCGTTCTCCAACACAACAACCAATCCTCCGATACGACATCCAATTTCCAGTATGACAATCTTCCGATATAACATGCGGCTTTCCAACTTGATATTTGGCCCTTTGATGATTTGAGTTTATAGTCAAAGTATTTTATAGGTCACTTATCTCAATAACATATTAGTTTATCAAATTAATCAATTGATTTCATAATCAAAATTCGAGATTCAACACTCTGCTCTCAGCTTCACCCAAGCTTTTTGCACGCACGAGCTCGAACTAAGTCAGACTGATCTAAACATCACCAATATCCTCGACATCAAATATGTTATGATCTAATCAAATCACCCTCTTTATAGTCAAAAGAGACAATTGGCAACAACATAAATAAGAAACACGTAAAGGATTATTATAATAAATCTAACCTTTTCAGTCTCCATGAATCTAGAAAGACCTAGTTTGAGATAATCTCCTTTATAATAAGAGACAGTAAATAAGAACAAAATGAAGAATTGTGCAAGGATTGTTTCGTATAAATCTAACCTTTCCTGCATTGGGCTTTATGTTTAGAGGGGAAAATTTGAAAGTGCTGCTTGGGTCAACCTTTGCGTTGCTGAAAAATAAATCTACTGCTTCTGGTGTTGTTTCAGAACTCGTAGTCCCAAATAAAATATTTGTCCACCAGACAACCCCCAAACCCAGAAAACGAAATTGTTACTCTATAGGAAATCAGCTCCCAAGTACTTCTCATCTTCTCTCAAGCACCATTCTGGCACATCAGAATTTTAAGCATCTGTTTGGACGGTCCAAAGTTCAGATTATGCATAACAATCAAGCAGTGGCAGCTGATAAAGAATCTTGTAAAAAATCACATCGCACTAGAAAATATTAGGTTTCCGTTCTCTCATTCATCAATTATGAATAATCCATATTGAATATAACTGTGCCACAAGCTGCTTCTGCATCCAGTGTTTGGAAGACCAGATGCACATGGAAAACAATTATGTTTGGTAGTCTTGTAGAATCTTTACCAGAAGAGAGTGCCTGAATGCTCCAACAAGGACATATGAAAACTTAATCCAATTTGAGTATAACAGGGGTTAGGGCTTGATACTTTCTCTCTCTAAATATCTGCTACAGAAATGGAAGAAGATAGAAGAACAGCATGCTTCCGATTACTGAAAGGATAGTTAGAAGAGCCAAGACTCAGCGATAACACCTGAGAGTTCCATGTCAGGTACACAGCTTAAACATGCATGAACTCACGAAATTTAGCTCACTCTTGAGCTTCAAGGCCAAAGCATGTAGGGTACTGAACTTTTTAAGTGTCCAAGAATGTTGCTAAAACCATATAAATTTCATCAGTTTGAGCATGCCTCCTATCTCCATTAAAGAATACATGAACCTTGTTCCTAATCTCAATCCAGCTGCATCCAGGAGTTCTCTTCATTCCTTTCTCCTTCATCTCTCTCCTGATCACCGATACGCTCTGCCAATTACCTGCAGCAGAGTACAAATTGGATAGCAACACATAGGACGAAATGTCCTTTGGATCTAGCGCAAGAATTCGATTAGCAACAGTCTTGGCCAGATCCTTGTTCGAATGTATCCGACCCCCTCCAAGCAATGCCTTCCAAAACCCAATTCCTGGCTCAAAAGGCAGCTCCTGAAGAAACCTCTCTGCCTCACCAAATCTCCTTGACCGAGCGAGCAAATCAACCACACAAGCATAATGTTCAGCTCTCAGTATGTCTGGCTGTTCAATCTTGGCTATACTGAAACAAGCATATCCATCATCAACCAAACCTGCATGGCTGCAGCCAAACAACACTACGAGAAGGGTGACACTGTTTGGCTTTAACCCCGACCTCTGCATTCTCTTATAGAACTCCAAGGCTTCCTCCCCTCTTCCGTTTTGTGCACAACTGCAAATCATGGCATTCCAAGAAACAATATTTCTGCCCTCAATCCTCTCAAATGCTAAAATACTGTCATGTAAACACCCACACTTGGCATAGAAGCTTATCAGCGAATTAACCACAAAAACATCAAGCTGACCCAAGTATTTGATAGCGGAAGCATGAAAGCTTCTGCCCATACCAAGAGCTGCTATATTGGCAGCTGCACTAATAACACAGGGGAAGGTGGACTGGTTGGGCCTGAAACCTTCTCGACACATTGCATTGAAAAGATTGACAGACTCCTCACTGAGACCAACCTGACTACAGCCCCCGATTATAGCGTTCCATGAGATAACGTTTCTCATCGGCATTTCGTAGAATAGTTGAATTGCTTCATGGAACCTGTCGATCTTCAAGTATCCACTCATCAACGCAGTGTACGAGACAACATTAGGTTCATGGGTGTCCTCAAATGCGTATTGTGATTCTTTAATCGCACCCAATTTGGCGTAGTGATCCACAAGAGAGCTCCCGACAAAGACATCGGAATGGAGACCCAACTTAGTTGAAAAAGCATGAAGCTGCTTACCGATGTTGAGATCGCCGACAGCGGTGGAGGAATGCAGCGTGGCACCGAAGGTGAATTGGTTGGGCCTGATCCCAAGGAAAAGCAAGCGAGAGAGAATCGAAAAGGAATCACGATGCCGACCGCGGCGAGCGAAGGCGCCGATGATGGCCGTAGCCGAGACCACATCCCATTCGAACCTCTCGTCGAACAACTTGCGCGCGTACTGAAACGCGGAGCAGTTGCAGTAGCGATGGACGACATCAGATCCTTCTATCGGGATGCCGGATTTGAGGAGCACAGCATGAGCTTTCTGGGTGTCGAGGAGAGTTGGACGTAATGAAGTGAAGGTGTTCGATAGATTGCATGGCGCAGACCTCATTTATATAGCGGAGAGAGCACCGCCGCGGCTGCTCGAGGTAGAGGAGCGAAAGGGCGATTGGAAGAGTCGAATGTCAACTGGTTCAACAGGACAAACGGGTTGAGTTGGGTACAGGCTCAAGCCTAAAGAAACCGAGTCGAAGTAGTCGAGCTATGTTTGCACACAGGGTCAAGTTGAGTCGGGCTGCTCAACGAATCGACTCGCCAACTCAATCTAATCCGACATTGCATGTCCCCAAATGCATGTTTTGGATCCGAGTCAAGAAATCTCAACTCATTAATTTTATATCACCAGTGATTGCAAGCTTAACTCAGTAATATAAACAAACAAGTAAAGCATTTAATATTAACTGCAATTATCCAAACAGAAACCTCCAGCCAGTTAACCAGGTGTAAAGATCTGACAGTTAAATTAACAAGGAAGACAACCTGATATTAGGTTATATATGCAAACAACCCTGCACTAAAACCATTATAAATGCAATTGAGCAAGAGACTTGTTTCATAAAAATGGATAGACGTCATATATGTATTAAGAAAAATCCACTGGTCTTTAGTTTATGTTTCTTCATCACCAAGAAAAAGACTAAAATTGAAGCAACTAAACAGACATCAGATCTTTAGATCTTAGCATTTTAAGATGATGCATGAAATAGATAATCTGGAGTCATTGGTAACCTAAACAGTAAAACCAGTTGGTAATATGCCAAACCATTCGCGACATTGAATTTCTTATCTCCAGCAAATATTGATGGTGATTGAACACATGATCAGTTCAAACTTTTTTCTTAGTTTGATGCTTCCCCAACTTGGATCGCCGTTGTTTAAATAAGTGCAGATATAGCTTCAGCCACAAAGCTGGATAACATATCAGCACAGCCTGCACAAATATTGAATAAATATCAAATCTAGTAAAACAATACAGGGTATCAATTAAGAACTTCTAACATACCAAAACAAAATGGTAGTAGCTGATTGAGAGCCTGTCAAAGAAGTCTGCATAAAGGTTCCTCTCCTTTATGAATGGAAGTGCTTGGTACATGAGCCACACTGTATGCAACTACGTCAGAAGAAACCCTAGATTCAATCATATTTAGATTTGTAGTTCTCAGACTCACTTTCGCCTGGAGCTATCCCAATGGGGTACAGAATGATAAAAGCAGTGTACCTGAAGAGTAAACTCTGCTATGAGTACATACAGGCATCCAGAGATGCAAATTAACCATGCATTTCATACAAACAATTATTGGCACCCACTAAAGTATGTAATTCATCCTTCTGATGTAAAGTTATGTACAAAAGTTTGCACTGTTGCATGAGGGATGTACAAATGAACCAGCGTTTCAACAGAACTGCTATGGTAAGAACAAGATAATCCAGAAGCTCCAGAAAATTTGGAGGTATGAATAGGATGCTCATATAGCCAGAAGCTGATCTTAGCTAAAGGCTAAACTCATGTCAAATGTTTGTCTAAAGACCAATTTCATGTCTTCTAAATCGGTACGTCCATCAAATGAATAAATATTCATTTATGTCAATTTTGCTACAACAACTTGCATGGGACCATAATCCTTAAAATCACAAAATTCCATCCTTTTAGATGCCAAAGGATTTCTAGATTCCGAACTGATACTGACGCTACTTGCTATACAGAGTTCACATTGGGAATTTAAAGTAGAAACATGTAGTAGTTTACATGATTTTATAGAACTGACTTCTAGAAGTTCTCATTTCTTCATGAGGAGTTTATTCTTTTTAGATGGATCCAGAATTATCTGTTCTTGCAGGACATACCCATATATAATCAAACAATGGTACATTGCAACATAGCTTCACAAATTTCTTGAAAGAATATATGATTTTCCCTGGTTGGAAACAGGATTTCTGGACTATTCATTTCATTAAACAATTGGATAAGCATGTGACAGTTCATAGATGATGCCCATGGCATATAAGTATCCGACATTAATTTTTTTTCTATTCTAAAGACCAAGGCCATATAATCTATGAGATTTGCAACTAGAGGTCATAGTAGTTATCGATTAATCAACTGTTTATATGTAAAATAGCACTAGGCACTAAGACAGTAACAAGAAGATGAATTATCAATACCCAGACCTGCAATGAATATAATGCTGGAAAATTTTTATGGAAGGGATAGGATGTTGAGAATGCAAAAAACAATGAGGAATGAGCAGACTTCTAGAACAAAAGAGACACTACAAGTTGCAAGAAAGTGCAAGGTGGACTACTCCTTTTCATTGCACTCATGTTTGATGAATACTGATTTTAGTAGCTAATCCAGTGCATGCTAGAGAATAGTTTTCTCTTTTGGCCGTGTAATGTCCCCAACAAAAATTGTGCGGGAAAAAATGAGTTGACCTCCTTATTGGATTTGTATAACTTCACCTTATTAATACAAAGTATGAGTTGCTCTTAGTGGCCATACATGGAAAATTTGGGCTGCACTCTTGGAGTTTTGTAAAATCAGAAGGAGCTATATGACTTAGAGCGAGAAATTCAATGTTTCACCAATCATTGTAGAGATAATTCAGTGGTACATAGTGTATGGAAACTTTTGTTAGAAGCTGCAGTATAACTACATCTGGATTTGAAGTAATACATGAATTTTTCCAACAGCAGCAAACTCTAGTAGAGGGTTATTGTAACTTGTAAGAAATGTCAAAGAAGCTATAGGAACATTATTTTCAATTGAAATGGACAGAGTATATTTCAGTAATAGGGAACTCTTAGTATTATTGTAAAGCTACTAGTATCTGCTCCATAGTGAGTAGTGGTTAGAATAATGTATGTATGTATGTAGCTATAGACTATAGTTTTGGTTGAGTAACAACTTAATTGCCTACCAAAACATATGAACATACACCACTGCATAAGTCATCCAAGCTCGGCCATCAAACATGAACACTAGAAAGCTAAACAAAGCCTTAAGTTAATATAACAAACCTGAGGTAAGTTAGCCATGATAGAGAAATCCCAATGCAACTCAAAGCATAATGTGGGTATCTTATCACCTGAAAATAACAGTAATTGATAGCATTGGCAACCTCAAGCACGTCCAATCATTAAGCAAAAGAATTCCTTGAGGTCTGATTTTTCTTGCCGAGTCAAATAAAAGCATAAAAATAAGAGGTCAACAAGATATACCATCATGACATACCTCAGTCATGCTCCAAGACATAAAGGTTATGAAAACTGATGGTAGGCCTTGAACCTGATGCAAAAAATATATAATTAAAAGCCTGGTTTTACAAAAATTAGATATTCAAATACTGAATTTTAATGTCATCTGGAATATTAAAGCCAAAGTGTGACAAGTGTTCTATACACAATTGGCTCAGACTCAAAAGTAATCAAAGCCTCAAACAAATGCTTCACCATAGAATAGGAATAGTTCTTTTAAAAAAATTGGAGAATTATTACGATCATCTTCGGAAGAGAAAGATTACCTCCGGAATTTGGCGAAGAATGGCCAATAGGAAATGGGTCCTCCCTCCCCACTGCATCAGCGCAAGCATAACCCCACTAGGAACCAAGCCTGATCAACCCAAGAACACAACTAAGATCTAAGAGACAAAAAAAGAACGGAATCAATTTAATGAACTCACCGGCAGCCGCATGGACGACTTCGACGAACGAAATCGTCTGCAGAAAACCTTCCAGGAGTACGAAAAGAGAGAACAAGACCCAACAACAACAAATGTGAGTGATTAGCGTTTGATGAACGGACTACAGGAGATGAGAAAGGGATGTGAGCTGCCAACAGATGAGGTCTCCGGCGAAGGCGTAGGCTCCATTGACAGATTTGGTGGAGAAGTAGCTGCTGAGGACCCTGGCGAGGGCGAGCGCCCTGTGAGATTAAGAACAGGATGAGACTTCGAGATAGAGATGCGAGCAGGAAAGGAGAGAGGAGGAAGACGAGGGGGCCGAGGACCATCCGAGGGACTGGAGGGAGTTGTAGGAGAGGAGATAGAGCGCACCAGTGCGAGCCATCGGAATTCTTGACGGCCCCCTTCGTTTCGTCCGCGGATAGAAAAGGTTTGTTGGATCGTATCCGTGCCTTTTCTCGCAAGGGTGAGGATGGAAATACAATGCAATTGTGGTGGTGATATGATCTCGCGTCTGAGGGAGATTAGTATTTTCAACACCGTTTTTTTTATTTACCATTTAAGAATTTTAAATATTTCTAAGTTGTCTTTTGTAAATAAATGTACAAGAATCCAATTTATAACTTAATTTTAATAAAATAATTTCACTCCACATCTAAAATATTTCTTTTTTCCCGTTAACTTTTTTTTCTCTCTCCTCCTTTCACCTTGGGGGGAGAACATCAACGACATGAAGCATATGCTAGGGGAGACAAGCGACGGAGAGAATCTATAGAGTGCATAGGCTAGTAAGTTAAGGATAATGATCAATACCATAGAATAGTTGAGACAGAACGAGTGCAATGATTAGTGACACCAGATGATAGTTAGAGTCAATAACAATATTGTACAAATGCAACAAGAAATATTAGGGATAGGTTGGGGGTGATGTTCGATGACAATTAGTGGGGGGATAGGCCACGACGATGATTGGTGGCAACGAGCAATATAGAGAATCCACAATAGTAATATGCATCATGATAAAAAGCAACGAAGAGATAAGTTAAGATAATAATCAATGATAATGGGCGATGGGAAGAGTCATCAGTAACTATATGCGTAAACGATAGGGGCGATAAGGGAAAAGTCAAAGATAACAATGGGGAGAGTTGATGATAGTAAATACATACGCGAAAGTTATAATGAAAGGAAAAAAAGATAAAAATAAAGATAAAATTATAATTAAAAGAGTTATAAAAATAAAAAATTAATATTTTAGAGGATTATGAATAGTAAGATTGTAAAACGAGATTTTTTAAATGTGATTTATGGATTTATTTCTATCAAATTACAAAATGACGTTTACTATGTCAAGTTCAATATAATTACTCAAAAATATTAAGATATACCCTTTAATCTTTCCAATGTGAATTATGTAGTAATCATTGAAGATGATGATAAATACATAAAATTTGAAGATATTTTCAAGGGGTATCAAAATTAAAATTTCAGCATCACCATTTTTTGATAAATTAAGGAGATTTACTGGGACACCTAACGTAATATTTGGAGATATAAAAAGATCAAATTTAGAGGGATTATATATATATATATATATATATATATATATATATATATATAATATGTGAGAGAGAGATTTTACTGATCTTTTATTGCTCAATGATCAGATGGTGTATTATTTATTAGCAGAGTCTGAAGTGGTGGCACGTGGCACTTAACACGTAGCCCGTTCTTGATACATATTGGGCCCTCGATTGAGCCCATGGACTGACACATGTCTCGAGCATGGGCCATCATGGACCCTTTCTTCTTCATCTTGCCCTCAGCTGGTGGCCGGCTGTCCCGGGCCACTCTCCACCGTTGCTCCCTCCTTGCGCTGACATTTTTCTTGTTTTCTGCTGGTGATGGAGATCAAAGAGAGGGAGGAGAACGTGGAGGGGTTGATCAATGATTGGGAGGAGGAAAGAGATGCTGTTGCGAGAGAAAGAGAGAGAAAAGGAGAAGAGAAAGAAGAATCTGATTTGCTTTGTCCAGAGATGCTTTGACGGTTTTCTACATGACCGTGTAAGTATCGTATTGACTTTATTTATGATCATGCATGCGAGATATTAACTAAACCGGCTTTGCATATCAAAGATTTGGTACCCGAATTGTATATTAAAAAATATTTAGGGAATGTGATTTCCTTCTTTACCAAAATATATATACATGATGGTTTTAGAAAGTTGTTTAGATTTGTTTACAGAACTTCGTCATCAGCATCAAATCATGTCTTTGTAATAGCAAGTTGCAAAAGTCAAACAAGTTTAGTTGAACGTGTTTGCAATATATATATGTCGATCATCCTAGAGCATAAGTATATAAATTCATTGCATTTAGGTATGTTCACAACATGGAGGCAGAAGAGATCATCCATCACAGTGGTGAGCAGAATAGAAACTGACCAGCAGCTCCCTCCCTTTTCTCTTCTTTTTCTTATGGATCAGTTTATAGGGTGAATTAAGTCAAATAGGATTCAAAATAGAGGAAAAAGAGAGGGAGTTGCTGGATTGTCTTTTCAAGGATGTTTTGGGATTAAGCTAAACAGGGGACATTGCTAGGGAAACACTAAAATGGGGCACCTCACCAGAAATGTCTAAAAAGAAAGATTTTTTCTAGGAATTCATCCTTAAATTTACCTACTTTCTACAACAGAAAAAGTCAAACTAGAATCCATCATTAGATGAGTGGATCCACTTTATTATTCTGAGAGAAATCTTTTGCATTTGGAGTTGGACTTTCACCCATCATTGCTTAACAATTAAGCAAGATTGCATTGTTGGTCTTAAGCAGAAATGCTGTGGCTTCCATCTGCTGATGGCAATAGCTTTTGGGTTGCTTTACAGTTAAGCAAGATTAAGATTGCACTGCTAATGTAATAGTGATATGGGTTCCATGAACAATGAAATTACTGCTGGGTTGATTAATACTAGTGATGCTATGTGACCCCAAACTGTGGCTGGCACAGTTTCAATTTTCATAAACATCTCAGAAAGTGAACTGGTAGTGATCAGACACCCTATTTCTTATAAGATTTTGTGTTAATAACAACCGTTCTTTTTCCATTTTCTCTGGTAATTACAGAAATTTGAGCTTGGATGAGATTCCTTGAGCACTCAGTAGACGTAAGCCTGTCAAATTCACATGACATGATATAGTGAGCATAAAAAGAGAGATCAAGTTCATGAGATTTCTCTTAGTACAAGGTTAAAGAAGGATGAACTATTATTAACGAGGTGCTAATTTAAGAATATCGATCTGAAAACCCTCATTTTTGCTTCCTAAGGTAGTGAAAAATTGGTGCTATCATTTGATAGATTTACTCAAAGCAGGATGATTATGGTTTCTGTCAAGTAACTCATGGAGCTGCCACTATGAACAAGTCTGTCGAAACTAATTGATAAAGGCACAAATTCTCTGGATTCAAAGGCAGACTGTACTGTGATGGACAAATTTGAATCACAGTATAGAATCTTGTCTTAGAAAAGTATTAATTAGCTCGTATTGTAATTGGAATTCTCATAATCATGGATTGTGACTCCGAAACACTTCTGAAGTCCTGTCAAATTTACACTGAAGAGAGGCAGTATCATATCCATGGATTGGTGGGCTACAATTGCTTGGAGCACTGACTTGTTATTAAATTTAGGGATAGCGTGGAGACTAATAAAAAGGAAGTATCAAACATTAAAATCTGCAGTAAAGATGGCCACCAAAAAAAGCAGTGGACCAAAGGCACTCAGAACACTGCATCCTCTTATCACCATCCTTTAATTGCCCTATAACCAATACTATTCTATGTTATCACTTGTGCAATTGGCAGATTAACTTTCTAAAGTGATCTCTCAGATCATATCACTTGTGCAAATGGCAGATTAACTTTCTAAAGTGATCTCTCAGATCAAATCCTCCTCTCCAAGCTAACATCTTTCATCACCATTACATGCTCATCAAAAAGCATGGGGAAAGGGCACACTACATTCACATACAGCAATCCAATTCCTTGAGGAGATGGTTGTGTTTCCTCAGATTTCTTTTCTCTTTTATGAGTTCACTTTCTCTACTGCTTTGATAGTAACTTGAATTCAAGGTAATTTTTTTCTCTTTTTTCTTTTGGAGATAATCTCCCTTGTCTGTATGTCAATGGATATGTTCTTTTTTAATGGGAAATTTGTATATGTATTTTGCATTCCATCTGGTTAACAAAGTGCTTTGTCATCAAATGGATAAGAACAAATAATTAAACTTGGACTTGAACCTGTCTCAGACAGGACACTGTTAGAATTCTATCAGGACACTGTTAGCATACTTTGACATGCTTTATTCTGTGTGAATTCTGCTATACAAAGTGCTTTGCCATCCAGTGGATAAGAACAAATAATTGAACTTGGACTTGAACCTGACTGTGCCCATGAGACACTTCGAATTCTAACAGGGCACTGTTAGCACACCTTGACATGCATATGGTAGAAAAGATTGGTTCTTGAGAGGATTTTGGTTTGAACATATCATGACTGGAAACTTGAATGGGGAAGGAAACTCTGAACATGTATCATACAGATGCCACAAACTGTTTACATTTCCTACAGAGACAAATAAGCAGGAGTTTTTACAGTAATCCTCACAACAACATGAACTTTGATCACACAGACGAAAGGTCTCTATCAAAGACCAACAATTTTACAGTAGAAATGCTTCATTGCTGAGACAGGATTCTCCTAAAGCATTTCACCTCAGTAACATGGATACAAAGAGATCGGGGACTTATAGGTCCAATTTAGAGGGCTCTCCAACGCGATGGGAAGTCGTCTGCTAAGGTAATTATCTATTATGCTTGGAAGTCATCATCATCTATCTTCCACAGAGAGTAAGAGCAGTACTCCCAGGTAGGAGAAGGCATTGTGAGGCGCGAAATATCGCAAGCTTCGTCCTTGCACTCCTCGAAGCTCAGCTCACCGATCATGTCAGGTGCAGCGATCTCATTCCAGATTTGATCCATGGGGTAGCCACTGACAGCGGCATCATCAATCTCTCCCAACGCCGCAGTTAAGCTGCTGCAGCTACTGCTGCTGTTAAGCTCATGGGCGTTCACAGCCGCAACTTCCGATGGGGGTTGACAGTCGGCGGCGAAGTTGTCGGTGACCGAGGACGACGAAGACGATGAAGGAGACGCCTTTTTCTTGCGTTCCTGCGCCTTCTTTCTCATGTGAGTTCTCCAGTAGTTCTTGATCTCATTATCTGTGCGGCCCGGCAATCGTCGGGCAATTCGAGACCACCTATGGACAGACAGGCTTCATCAAAATGGCGCTGTGCACACGAAGAACACAAGGAGGTTTAGATCGATGACGGACCTGTTGCCCCAGCGAGAGTGGAGGTCGAGGACGAGGCGCTCTTCCTGGGGGGACATGCGGCCGCGTTTGAGGCCGGGGTGGAGATAGTTAACCCAGCGCAACCTGCAGCTCTTGCCTGTTCTGTTGAGACCTACAACAACAACAGATGAAAGGAGAGGCGGGGTTAAGCAGGTAGCTTCGTCCACCCACCGTCGCCAAAGTAATCTGCCCACCTAGCCTTCCCCCCCCTCAAACCTGTGACTTTGGCTAGGAAATCCCAACGACGGTCACCGAATAATCCCACAAAGCATACCAGTTGCAGGTCCTCCTGCTCGGTCCAGGGTCCCTTTCGCATCACCATCTTCTTCTTCTCCTTCTTTATCTCCTCCTCCTCCTCCTCCTCCTGCTTCTGCTGCCTCTCACGGAGCTCTTCCACTGCTCCTCCACTCTCCTTCCCTTCAGCTAATGGACTGCAGCAGCTACCGCACTACTCATTTTGTCTGAATAGTTTGATAGCCTTTGCTGCGCTACCCTCTTATTTATAGGCAGCCCTTTGCTGTGTCAAGTGATGTCACAAGTGTTTTTGAGGTCCTACAAAGCACAAGAGGTTACAGGACAGAATTCAATTAGTAGATACAGTCTTCCAGGTTTATAAGGGTCTCCAAATCTTATATTCGAAGGAGTCCATGCTTTGTCCGAGTCTTAGCATCATATGATAATGATAAGATTGCCTCTTTATTGATTGTAAAGAAAGTAAGGCAGAAACTTTCTTTCCAAGCACAAATATGATTGAGAATCTTTGTGCTCATGGCGATCATGCGTCTCACTCGATTGAGCTGATGCTATGTTTGAGTGCACTCCATGGCTCTTACTGCATATTGAAGCTCTACATCATTCAGGGAAGATGAGTTTCTATTACAAATAATATCTTAATGTTCTTTTTGGATTAGATCCTGAAACAGGCATTAAGTTTATTTGCTGTTCCAAATTTGGATAGGAAAACTTTTCTGAGTCCTACTCTAATCCTAGTCCTACTCAATCAAAAAAACTAGTCTACATATAAATAGGATTTAGCTTAGAAGAATTTATGAATGCCTCTCAGGGGTGGTTTGGAGATTAAGAGTGACTCTCTTAGAACTTCTTCTCTATTGTTCTGTCAACATATTCTTGTTGGTTTCTTATGTTGATCTAATATGGTTGTATGCACTATTCCCAGACCACTATTAATATGAAATTAAGAGAACATATGTGATTTTTCTGTATTAATCTAACATCATATGTGAAATGACGCAACTAAGCTTTTTAGGTTAAGTTGAGACAACAAGCATCACCCATACACTGGTCAGAATAGTTGAGTTGCTTCGTAGTCTGACCTCCATGTTCCTGGGATTGCCTAACTTAGTAGGACGACCTGCCTATCTATTCCCTTCTTAATGAGTTGGCTCATCTCAAATGATAAAGAATGACCTCTTTTCTAAAGACCTGTAATGTTAAGCTTTCCTCCTTTTTGCCAAATGCTCCTTTAAGGATAAAGTACGTTTGTTTAATCTGAGTTAGTGCTACATTAACACATTAACCAGTACAATTCTACTAACACAACACGTGAGCCAGTACAAATTGTACTAACTTGAACTGTGTATCTGAAGGTCAACTATCCTCCATTCAAACAGATGTATCTATCAGCATATTTCCTTATGCAATCATTACACACTGTAAGAGGCTGTAGATATGAAACCAAGAATAAGCTGTCTATTCGGATAAGAAGAAGGGATGTGAAAGACTATGTTGAATCTTCTTGGGCTTCTAATTTACTGTGGCAAAATGGCAACTTGGCCACTCATGCTTCTCTTTCTGATCGCTGTCGGTATTGCTAAGTATCTTCAGCTTTGCATGCGCGTCCGGGGAGACGCATGTTCGTGACCTCATGGACACACACAGCTTAAGAACTCGATCTCATTGGACACGCATGCGAGCTGGATAGGGTATCAACTTGTGGCGGTTGTTTTGGGCACAGTTTAAGATATGGCCAATGGATGGAAAAGGAAGCGTCGATGTCAGTGGTGTATGTGTTGCACAACGATGCAGATTCCAAGTGCAAAGCCACGAGATCTAGTGGTTCTCTGTGAGCCACGACTTCATGTTCTTGGGCTGAGAAGGTTGCTTGGGAAAGAAACACAGGGCTACGCCGCCTGGATTTGACAGGAATGAACTCCATGGAAGTGCAAGAGTCACCGAAGAAGAAAAGCTAAGCCAACTTGACGTGGAGGCAACCAATATGTGGGCAGCAGCATGTCGACATATCTGAGGTAGCAGATCCTTTATCTGCATTATAAGGAAAAGGAGGAACACTGTAGCAAGTTTGTCGGCTTTGTTGTTGGTGAGGCAGGTTGCTCACTATGCACTGTCGCGCTCAGCACAGTGTCAAATGCCATCATGGCCATGGCAAATCTGGTGGAGAGTTTGGTTTCAGGCGATTCCACAGTAGCTCAGTTTTGTGGATCAAGATGGTGGAGGGTTCCGATTTCTTCAGCCGTCTCCATCGGGATTCATGGCGGGTTTGCTGGGGTCGAGGCATGAAGTAGTGGACCCTGAGATTTCAGCTACGGAAGCTCTGCAGGACTGACTCACTTAAACCCTAACATGGTTCTGTTTAAAGAACGTCGGGTTGGAAGATTAAGGTCACACGTATTCTAATGGAGGCATGCATGAACATTTGATGGGTATTGGTCTTCTTCCACCAAAGCAGATGAGCACATTTATGGAGAAATTAATATTTAGATTAATTTTTTTTGTTTGATAGCTGATTCTGATTCTGCTCTTCAAAAAAGATGTCAAGAAGTACTTTCTTGGTGGAGAAGGTAGAAATAGTTGCTTTCTACACTAAGCTAAAGCAATTTATTCTCCAGATATATCAGTATGGCATAATATAAAGATCATTAAGGTGCTTAGGAGCAGTGCTTCCATAAACCAGAAGAAAAACCAAACTACCTCTAAAAGTATTAAGGTGCTTCGAAGCAGTGCTTCCATAAACATTAAGATGCTTGATGGGATATAGACTCTCTCTCTCTCTCTCTCTCTCTCTCTCTCTCTCTGAGCTGCAGAGAAAGCTTTCCGAGAAGATACGAAGCCTATTAAGTATGGTTGTGAAAGAAGGATAAAAGATAAAGAGAAGCAGGTGAACGAGAGCACGAGATTATGTTCTGATCTTGTCTCTTTTGCGACCTCATTATGTAGAACTTCTCAATGAGCACCATGTTTCACGTATATAAAGATTAATCGATGTTGCCCATGTATCTATACAGATAAAGATTGGGAATGGGCAAGGCTTGTTGATGGACCATTGGGTTTACATGCGTCGGCATCATCAGGCCTGGCCTGAATGCTCCTATGCGATCCATCGCAGCATTAATTCAGCATTCTTTTCTGCTTGTTGATGTGAAACTTCAGGACAGTTCGCCTTCAAAAGAGAAAAAGAAGGGATATTAGGATACTGAAACAGCAGAACTTTCACTGATTTATTCTTCTTTTTCTTGGTAACAGCATCTGGATTTGAGTTGGCAAAGCTGTTGCCTGGTTCTCAATGGAATTGCTGTCCTGAAGAAGACATAGGGATCATAGCTACACCTGCAGGTGATTAAAATAATCTTAGTGTCCAGCATTTGCTAACCCTCGGTGGAAGTAGGTGACAGTAATCGAGCATCAGGAGACGTGATCTGACTTCTTCATGAGCAGTTTCCACATCATTTCCACTTTCAAGAACAAATGCTGATCCAGGTAGCAAGGCATTAATGCATGATGCAGGTCAGTATACGACGAGATCATGGTGTTTCCATGTACAGGAGTAAGTCCAGATTTGACGACACCGCCGATGGAAAAACCTGTGACAAGTAATGAATACAATAAAAAACGCAGGAGAAGTATTAGGTAGATTGCCGTGTTAGCAAATAAAAGAAGAGAGGAAAAAGAAGTGGCCAAAGACACTATGCCCAGAAGCATATGCCAAGTAGATCCTATTCCATCTTTCACTACATGAGCTGCTTCCACCAACTAATGCCTCCATTCCTTCCCCTCCACTTCTGGTCATTCTCAGCTCCCACCCGCCTCCTCGCATGGAGATCGTCTACGTCTCCGGATCGACATCGAGCGCTTCCTCTGACGCCTCCTTGCATGGAGATCGTCTACGTCTACGGATCGACATCGAGCGCTTCCTCTGAATCGCCCGGCAATGGCCTACTGAGCAGCGGCAACAGCTGGCTTGTCTTTGAGCGCATGATTTCGTCGCTGATTCCGGCGACGAGGTGATTGCCGTCCGTCTGCGTAGGGCAACGTCGAATCTTTGGCACTTGTCAACCTCTGGCATCCGTCAGCGACTTTGAGATAACTTTGCTTAGAGAGGCATGCAATTTATTTTGCCTCGTTTGTTCTGTCTTCGTTGTTCCAGTTTTAGAGAAAGCAGGAGAACACTGAATTATATATATATATATATATATATATATATATATCGATGGGTTTCTGATAAATCTTGAAAAATAAAATTAATATTGCAACCTGGTTGATAAAGAAATATAAAATTACGACCCTACGCGTGGATCTTGATGGTGCCCAAATCATATGTATGCACGATTGTCAAAGTGCATATGGACGCAGATCACGTGGTTTGAGAGAGAAAGACGGGATGGGTGGGAACGTCACGGAAACATCGGCAAGAACAACGGTTAGAACATAACGGAACGGAACCATATCGGCCGTCAGACACCCAGGTCACATAATGACTCACGTGATATGCACTTGTCTCATGGGATCTTTCTCTCTTTTGCCCCTCCGCTCCCCAGCATATAAGAGTGAAACAAACCTTGTTCTCAAAACCCTAGTCGTCTCGCCCTCTCCCAAGAAAGATCGCGCTCCAAATCGACTCATCGAATCCTGATGGCTTCCAACCCCAGCAACGACGGCGCCGCCTCAGCCTCCGCAGTCGCCGGTTGCTCCTCCACCGACCAGCTTCTCCTCCAAACCCTCATGTCCCGCCTCCATCTTCGTCCGCCGTACCTCGACACCAACTCCTTCCTCTCCCACAGCCTCGACGATTTCCTCCTCCGCGATCGATGCTCCGACGCGGAAGGTTCCGATGGCGACGAGGAGGATGACGACGAGGACGGCGGCGACGGGCAGCACGGCGCCTTCTTCGGCGATGGATCGAGGAACCGCCGGCTGCTCGCCAAGGAGGAGGCCAAATTGGAGAAGGAGATCGTTCGGATCGTCCACTCCGGTGACGCCGTCGAGGCCCTCAAGGCCAATTCCGGCCAGTCCGTGGCTATCGGGGACCACAACATCTGCGTCGCCGTCCACGAGGAGGTCGGGTCCGAGTACCGGGTGTGGGAGTGGCATGGCCACATCATGCTCTTCGATGAGGAGAATGGGTACTCGGCCGAGTATATTTATGGGAATTACTTCGAGAAGCTGCCAGAGAAGAAGAAGAAAAAGGGCAGAAAACAGGATGATGATGATGCGGACGAGGATGGTGAGGACATTGCCAGGATTAAGGTAGGTGGGAACTCGGGGCTAAGAGATTTGATCCAGGACTCAAAAGACTCGATCGGAAATGGGGCAGGAAGGGTTCTTCACAGGAACTTCCTGAAAGATGGATCAGCGACAAGGTAATTGTTTGTAGATGGGCTTGAAGATCTATCTGACCGACCACAGTTCATTAAAATGAAATATATTTGTGTGGCAGTGATGGCAATCCGACAAACTGATTCTATTTCTGGATTGCCTCTGGTCTTCAATAAAATGATCTGGAGTAGAAAATGTATAGTCACGATGCAAAATATTCTCTGAGGCATGAATTTTACATTCTAGCTTTTAAATTTTCATATGCTTGGTTTGTTATCAGACATATTTTACAAAATTGTGCTTAACTGATAAATTTAAAGTGGATATACGTTTTAATTTTCTCAATATTGTCCTATGCTGTCCATGAAATTGTAATTTATTTCTAAATTGTATCAAAATGGTGGCTGCCAAACTGACTTTTTTTTTCTAATGGTAATAATGCTCCTTGTTATTGTTTCTTTTTAATATAATGAACTTATTAGTGATGGTGTTAAATTTCTATGCATTATCATCGATTAGTGGTTGGGGGCGTGGGGAAAATTTTCTATCTATCTGTTAAGTATGCTTGCAAATTATGTTTGAAGATTAGTACCGTAGTTATTCAGACCTATTGAACAACTTGTTTGGTTATGTTTATTTATTTTTATCTCGTTGATGTTTCTATGATTGTTATAATAAGCATTATGATGTTTGGGTGGACAAGTGATTCAAAATAGGGACTTTTTCTTGGTTATGTGACAAGGTTCCAATCAACTTATGAAAAATACTTTGTTAGGCTATGAACCATGTGGGGAGAAATCACGAAGATAATGACGATGGAAATTGTGAGTGTTGACTATGTTAATGCCACTCAAAGATTGAAAGTTTAGTGTTATCTCAAATATCCATCTAAATATCAATCCAGTAGATGTACCTGAAATGGATATTTTGGTTATATTTAGTCTAAATAACATGATTTATGCTTCACCTTGCATGAACGAGTCATATGTATTTACATCATTTATTCTGTAAGTATGACTGACTTGCCTTTTAACAAACAAGAGTCTTCGCAGCCGATGCGCCATAGATAGGCAATTAACAGAAATGAAAATATGAGAGTTGAATCGGAATGGTGATATTTAAATGTCCTCTTCTTACTCAAATTTTTGGTGTTCTATAATTTGAGTGTAAATTGATAAATTTTATTGCAAAACAGTCTTGCTTTCCTAATATATTTTTCAGTGAGCAAACGTGACATTTACACCACTTGACATGTGGATGCTTGGATATTCATAGCCTGATGCTTATTTTGAGGATTTTTTGTGCTTGAAAGATTTCTGGAAAAGGGAAAGCTTATGCCCCACCTAGCAGTTATGCATGTCTTTATGGCTATAATACTATGTGGAAATTTTCTTAATATTGTTTAGATAAGGTACATTGTCGCTTATAAACAGTCAAGATTTGGTTAGCTATAATGTTGAATTTGTCATTTCTATGCTTTTTATGGTCTACAAGTGCCCAGGAAGAATTTTTCGAAGACATTAATTGACACCAGGAAAGTTGTTTCGGATGTTTCTTCCAGAGCTTCTTGTACATTTTTATTTCTTGAATAAGTTCCAGTGCGATTGTTCAGTTGTCGACAACTTGTTTGATTCTTAAAAAGATAGTCCTTTGGTAAATACAAAACTGGCTTAGTTGACTCTAAATGCTACATTATTGGTGACATCGGCCATCTTGTATGATTTCAGTGTGAGACGTTTGCTTTAGATTTCAGTTCTTTTTAAGATATTGGCATGAATAGCTAACATCCTACTGCGCTTTCCTGAGATTGGATGGAAATGGTTCCTTATGGTGCTTGTTTTCTGCTTCTGTCACTAGAAAGTGTTATAAGTGATGTATTCTTTTTTACATAGGAATATTACTACTTTTCATTTCCATTTTCTCAAGTTTTGCGTTAAGGTTAACTAAGTTCACTAAAATTCCTTTTGCTAACGTTTTTTTTTTCTTTTGGCTACATCTCTGAATTAGAGACTTATTTGCACGAGCAATGTAATAGCTAATTATAGATTATCCACTTGAAATTTTATGAAAGTGAAATATCTATATTTATTTATTTTGATGTTGTTGATTTTATCAATAGAAATATAAAAATAATCGATAAAAAGGATAATTTTAATAATCTAGTTGGTGATTATGGATGACTCGGTAGTGGTAGACAACATCATCGTTGGGGGTCACAAATGGTTTCTATGGATGAGGAGAGTAGTGACGTGATATGAGTATCGTTTTGCATCTATGTCGATGCCAATGTAGTTGCTGAGCGGTTCTTTCATTGTTTTGCATTTGCGTCGGCGTTGATGCAATTGTCGAGCGATCCATTTGTCGCTCTATATCTGCATTGACATCGACGCAGTTGTCGAGCGACGAAAGGGTCATCGATGCAAATGTTGAGCAATCCTTTTGTCACTCACAATTATGTCAACGTAGATATAGAGTGATGAAAGGGTCACTCATTATGTCAACTTTGTTGCAGATACAGAGCAGTATCGCTTTATATGTGTATCGATATCGACGTAGAGGCCAAGTGATCCTTTCGTTGTTCGATAACTAACATCGCATCGACGTAGTTGTCGAGCGATCATCATCTTGCTCTCCTCATTTACATTAGTCATCGTTCGTCACCTAACGTTATCTGTCATCATTAATTAGAATATTAAAATTATTATTATTATTATTATTTTTTATGTTTTTATTAATAAAATTGATGGTATTAAGATAGATGGATCTAGATATTTTATTATTTTAATTATAAAAATTTTAATATATTTTTTTAAATCTAAATATTTTTAAGTCTAACAATCAGAATTATAAGTAAGTCAAACTATAAATTTAATCATATATGATATTGGAGATCGTGAACTAGATATGCTATGTTGCATGGTTCATCATGATCGTCAAAATCTAAAATTCGGATGCAGAGGGATCGGATTTAAGCGGAACGCATCGTCTCGTTCGTTATCAAATTCGTTCCTACATTCGCGACGCTCAGCGGCTTTACTCGTTGCTTGCCAGATTGTTTATTCGTCAGCACGAATTTCCGCGTCAGAGGACTATGTGCGTCGTTCGGCGACCGCGACAGGTGGCGCGAATCTCCGCGTAAGACGACGTGCTGCGGCGTGCGGTCACCCCCACCGCAGTATTTCTTCCCAACAGCACCCGCCATTTGCTTTCCCAATTCCTTGCCATCGCCGTCCCGCCCCCTCCGCCTCCGATCTCGAAGCCTTCCATTCCTCGTCCAAGTCCTCTCCAGGAGCCCTAGATTCCCTCCAGAGGCCCAATCGGTGCCTACTCTCTCCCACTTTTTTTGCCAATCTCCGGAAATGGTACGACTCCCACCCTTCACTTCGCCCTTACATCTGTTTCTTAGATGCGGAGAATCCCATCTTCCACGGTACTTCGATCCTGGTCATTTAGTCTGATCGATCCGGTAGCATGTATGAGTAGTATTTGGTATTGTTAGTGTTTAGATCTGGTTTGATGTGAGATCGTAATCGTTACATCGACTGATCGCTCTTTGTTTCTGTAACTAGCTAGTTTTCAGTAAAATATTTCTGCATTCAAAGTGGTACGGTTTATAAATCTCTGATCTGTACAACACGCTGTGATCTGACGTTTATGGTCAGACAGATCTATCACGAACTCCTTGAAAAAGATCATCACAGACAATAATGGATTTGATCGAGATCCAGCGGCATCCTCTTCTATTTAGTTTCTACGTTTTTGGATCTATCATCGCTCGATGGGAGTCTTCATGCTTTCTACCAATGGTGGCAGGCGAATGCAGCGTCAGGGATGGCTGTGAACGATGATTGCAAGCTGAAGTTCTTGGAACTGAAGGCAAAACGGACTTACCGCTTCATAGTATTCAAGATTGACGAGAAGCTGAAGCAGGTTGTTGTGGAGAAGGTCGGCGAGCCCACTCTGGGCTACGACGACTTTTCTGCTAGCCTTCCTACCAACGAATGCAGATACGCCGTCTTCGACTTTGATTTCGTCACTGAGGAGAATTGCCAGAAAAGCAAGATCTTCTTCATCGCATGGTATTTATTCCCTTTCATTTTGTTCTCCACCACATCCAAATTTACACTCTGCTTGTAGATGCGAGGCACTGCTTGTTCCTTTGCTGTAGGTCACCCGACACTTCTAGAGTGAGAAGCAAGATGCTTTATGCCAGCTCAAAAGACAGATTCAAGAGAGAATTGGATGGGATCCAGGTGGAATTGCAAGCAACTGATCCTACCGAGATGGGACTTGATGTCATTAGAGGCCGGGCCAACTAAGTACGTATTACTGGAATCTGCAATGGGAAATTGCTTCTTGTTAGTTGGTTCTTGAAGGAGTGTTTATAGTTCTGGTTTGCTGCTCAACTCAATATGTTGGTTGTTCTCTATAATCGTTTTGGTGGTGTCTACAAACTAATATCCTTTGATAGTTTCGGGAGTTATATGGGTAGACCAAACCATTTTTTGTTTCAGATGATGTTATGTTGGTTCTTTCAGCAACTTTGGTATGCTTCTTGCTTCTTATTTCTTATATAATTGCTACATTTCTGTCAGCTAATGTTTCTATGATACATATGCAAATAGCTACAGTATGGCAATCTTGTCCTTTGTTACTGTTTGCTTCCATAATCTTTCAAGTCCTTCTTCACTGCTTTATTTTCTGGACCTTAGATGAATTCATTATTACTAACTTCAATTTATACATTTTGGATTACGTGGTTCTAGTCGCATCAAATTAATTAATGTGTTTGCTAATCGAGTCAGGATAATCCAAATAGAAAAAGACTTCATGGATGTAGATTTTATCTCACATTAAAAGTTAGAGAATAAACTTGATTGTTTATTGAGCTAAATGGACTGTTATTATTAATTTAGACTAAAGTTTGGACCATATGATTCTTGATGCATCAAATTAAACCAGTCAATTTTTGGTAGGTTTACGTTTTAAATATGAAAATTAATTTGATGTTGATAGAAAGATGTTTAATTCAGACACTTTGGTGGCTTCATAGCATGAATTAGCTTCGAATAACCTTAGGGCGGCTGATGTAATGTGTAAAAAAATAAGTTAAGATGACATGGAAACTCTCCTCCAAGTATGAAAGTTAATGCTTCAGCTAAGAATGCTGAACAGCTGAAGGTTGATCTAAGTTCTCAAACCAAATTGTGGCAAGTTGGTGTTTTGTTATTTCATTAATTAGCATGCGATGTTGAAGTAACTGTAATTTGTCCAATAATGTTAGCTGAAGTTATAACATTTTAAAAATTACCATGTGCAAAATGAATGAATCAAGTAAATGAGGCTTACCTATGAATAAGATGAGAATAAATAATCTAAAACAGTAGGAATGTCCTGATTTAGCTGAGACATATAAAGTTCGTTGCGTGAGGAAAACATAATAGATCTATAAAATGTTACACAACAGAAGTGTGACAGTAGGTTTTGTTTGACATGTTGAGGATTTAGAGTCAACCTAGGTTCAATATTAGATCTGGGTTCAGCATAAGTCTCAATGTCAGGAAGCAACTGAGTTTGGTTGGGCTTCCTACAAAATTGGATCGAGGGTGTGTTCAACAAAGGCTTTTCTGCTTAAGTCGGTAAAGGGTTGGAGGATTAAAAAAATGAGCGAGCATGCTAATAGATCTCAAATGACGTACCTACGACATATAGTCACTTTTGGTAATAGATTGGAGGATTTAATTCACTTGGCATGGCAGTTGCGTGGTATCATCTTACTTGGAGGTGAAGAGTCAGCTGAACTGTCGGGCGATACGGTTAGTGCAATTACATGTTGGATTAATCTGCTGGGATGGTCAGCCAACGTGTCGATATGAGAAGATGTTCGAGTTGATGCTGTGTTGGGTGATGACATGGCATTCGATCACCCATGTGTCATATCCCCTATCAAGAAAAAGTTAAATAATTTTAATTACTTTTATTTAACTAGTGATATTGTTATCAGAAAACTATACCGTAGATAAATATATGTATAGCCAATGATGAACAGTTGAGATGTTATTTTGTTATTTTTGATTCAGTTATTTATATACGGACTATGCAAACGAAAGCCTTCAAAGTTTGTCTGCATGAGGCGCGGTTGTGTATGTGGGCAAAATCTTTGTAAATGCAGTTGCAGAAACATGTTTGCTACATCCACGTGAAGCTGTGTCGAAGTATGTATCGAGCTTTTTTTCTGCAAATAATTTTACTTGAGTTACTATGCTTAGACTGATGGGACTCTGATACCGATATCCTTGTGCAAGAACTTGTGCAACAGGCAATCTATTTGCTTGCTTTCAAAATTAAGATGGTTTTTTAGCAGTATAATTATATTTGAGTATGCCTGCAGTCTACTTTGATCTTAGAGTTATGAAAGGCATTTTCTATTTTAATGATTGTGGTTTAGTTATTCTTTCAAGTTATTACAGATGTAAGAAAACATTTAGGGGCATTCGATTACCAGCAGCTGAAACTACCTGCAAGTATTAATCATAGGCAAAAGAAAATGTTATCGGCAACGGTTATAGAGTACAACTATGTAATATGGAATATAGTCATTTAATTTTGACTTGTAACCCAGTTTGTAGGTGCAATATGTAGGGATCTATCGTAGTATCGTAGGGGAAGTGTTTGCAAGTGCACTTGCTGCCTGTTGCGCATCATATTATCAACAATTCCATGTAGCCGAGCATTCAGATATTATGGTGTCTAATAACAAACTCACGACAACCATAAAAAACACACCTCACAGGCCACGCATATGATCGAAGCTTTCCCAACTCCACCAGTTGTGCAAATATGCATAACGGAGAGGAGAGAGATCAAAGGCTTAAATAATACTGTGAATGCCATCAATTTGATACTGTGACTCTTTTGGAAGAGAAGCCTACTGACAACCGTATCCTGATCACTACTAATCCAGTGTAACCAGTAGCACACAGCAATACAAAAGCTTGTTAAAATAAAATAAAAACAATCTTAACAATTGGCGTCGCCCGGACTCGAACCGGAGACCTTCAGTGTGTTAGACTGACGTGATAACCAACTACACCACGACACCCGGACGTGATGAATTTGGCTTTTATCATTATATAAATTATATTTTAAGGAAAAGAACTACAAAACCAAGCGACGGACTCAACAAGCATTCTGCCACCATCACATGTTGACACATCATTCTAAACACGATACATTTATCACCACCATGTGCATGAAGCTGTTCTGCAAACTACCATCTTGTTTCATTCATCGGAAGCCACTTATTCATCACCGATTTTAGGAAGATCCAGCAACTTAAATGCATCTATAAAGAAAGCACCAAAAAGAGTTGCATATCTGCTCAAGCACAAAGATGGCAACTAGTAATTATCCAATATTCTGTTAAATCCACAATCAAGTAGCAGGGAGGTCATTCGCAATACAGTATTTCTCGAGCTTCAAGCAAGCTGAACTATCAAAACCGCCGAAATCCACGATCAAATATCCTTCCCGATGGGCACTCGAAAGCGACATGGCCACGCCCCCCACAGTTGCCGCAGATAACGATTCCAACACAGTCCCGTCCAATGTGACCTGGCTGGCCACACATGCGGCATATAATGTCGCGTAAGGGACCTCCATGGACTTCAGATGTCAGGCTTGCCTTTGGACAATTGCGCGCTACATGGCCTGAAACATTACATAGGTTGCATACAGGATCGTTCGGGCAATCTCGAGCAAGATGGCCAGTTTTGCGGCAGTTGTTGCAAGCTTTGTCGTTGGTACACTCGGCAGCAATATGACCTGGTTTGTGGCAGTTGTTGCAAAGCCGAACATCGAAGGGGGCCAGTCCTGAGCCTGTGCAATCACGAGCCAGGTGGCCCGTCTTGTTGCAGGTGTGGCAGACAGGTTGGTTGCTGCACTCACTGGCAACATGTCCAGGTTCCTTGCAGTTCCAGCACAGGGTCTTGGCAGTGCATTCTGCTGCGATGTGCCTATTGCCAATAAATTGATCAACAGATAGCAAAAATCAAGTCAGGTGGCCAATGGAAAAAAAACTAGCAATTGCTACATTTAAATGCTCTACAGCTCAAACTTAATTGGCTTCAAATGCTAACAGAAAAGTTTCATAAATGATTAGCCAAGCATCTTCAAACTGGTAACAGCCATTTTATATAGATGAGGATAAAAACAATGGAGATATATGTAGGTCACATCCGAGTGAAACTAGCATCTGAACGGTAGGTCACGATTTCAAAAATGTACATGTTAGATGACAATTGCAACTTGCAGCTAACACACTGCAATGATAGTTATGCTTTGGTTCAAGTCATAGAATTGTTTTTACCCTGGAAGTGAACAGTTGTTGCAGACCGCTACATTAGGACAATCTCTAGCAAAATGTCCCGGACGCTTGCAGTTATTGCACAGATAATCCCTGGAAGCAGTTCAGAACACAAAACATTCAGAAGTTACTGAGGAAATGGGATTTCAGGAAGTATTATTCTACATGAACATATTTTAATAGCATCACACCCATATAACATCCTTCTAAAACAACAAGAAATGGCTGTATTCTGTGCCCAAATCTTCTGAGATAGACATTATATGGTTAGAGAAATATAATAAAATTGAAGGTGCATTTTCGAAACATAAGACAGTTCCAACAGTAAATTCAATCAACTGGCAAATCAAGCTCAGGCTAATCAAACCAAGTAAAATTTTCAAGAAAGCCACATGAAAATTCTCGTTTTATAATTTTTTTCACAAACAATAATTTAATTTAGGTAAAAATCTCTATAGCCATCTCCACCAGAGCAGATATATGGAGTAAATATGCACAAAAGACACAAATTCTTTAATGCAACATTATTGACCATCCCAAACTTCAAAATGACAAGATATCAAACTAGAAGAGCACGACAAAGATGCCCTTCACATGGGAACCAGAGCAATGGAGGAAGAAGAGGACAGTAGCCGAGACAACGAGAAGGCCATTCACATAGTGGACTGACATGGTGGAGGAGCACCGGTTTCCTCAGAGAGAGAATTTTATCAAAGGAGAGGTTTCTCACGAAGTGCAACTTTACCTCTACTCCTCTGTCATTGGCTTGTTGTTAAAAGTGAAGGGTACTTGGGACGGTATCCTACTTTGCAAACATTTCAATGCAATAACTGATATCAACGAACTAAGACAAAAGTCAGTCCAGGTAGGAACTGAAATAGACAATATACCTAAGGAACATCTAAGATTTCAAAAAATAAACAATAATGATAATTCCACTAGGCACGTCATTCAACATATCAATGAAATGACTTTGTGAACAATATTAAAGTTTATTCTCTCAAGAAATGATAAATAGTTATGATAAAATAATCTCAAGTGTGAGATAAACTTCTGAAATCTTAAGTATCAGAAGCAAATTGATCTAAGGCTTACGTTCCTAAAGAAAAAGGTCCTGATTGACGGACTATCCTGATGCTACAGGGATGTAAATGTATAGACCTCACCATGAATGAGTCTAGCATAGCAAAGCTGGATCTCCCTAGATGTCTTCTGACAATGAAACAATGTCGTCTCTCTTGATATGTGCATAACCAAAACAGGTGACAATG